ATCCGTTATCCGGAATGATCTATAGTCTGGACCTCAAAGCCACAAACTTTTTTTTTTGTATGCTTTACGCATACGCGTTTAATGTTTATGCATGCGCGTTTAGCACAAAAAACAAAGCAACTTAAACAACTTATATTGAAAGAAATGTTTAATAAAGTAAACAAATAAATATTAATTTTTTTTTAAATTTTGATACCTTTTAGATCATAAATACTTCATTATTTCATAAATCATGATTTCATATTTTTAATTTATAATTTCTGCATGCCATCTTACTAGATTTAAGCTGATGATCTGACATCCAGAAAAATTTCAAATCCAGAATCGCAGATGTCCCAACAAGTCCAGATTTCGGACTTTGTACTGTATATGCTTTTAAGCAAAAGCCTAAAAAATGTTCTCCACGACAACTTCGTCATCTTGATTTTATTTACCAATTTTCCACTGATATAGTACAATAAATCAAATGTCCTGACAATATCATTCCTGATGCCTTATCCAGTGTAGAAATAGATGCAGTATCTGACAATCAACACATTGATGATAAAAAGTTATCTAAAGCACAACTTCAGATCCCCAAAATTCAAAATTCTCTATCTTAATCTTCACCAGTTTTTAAATTAGAGAAACATTTTGTCTCTTTAGAAGATGTTACTCTTTACTGCAGTATGGACACAGGTACACCTCGTCTATTCATTTCTGAATTTTTTCGCTATAACATTTTTCAGCAGATGGTCTTTCTCGGTCCAGTATTTTAGCCTCAACAAAATTAACCACCAAGCGATATTTTTGGCCTCGTATAAAGAAATTTATTAAAACTGCTGTTTAATCTTACCTACAATGCCAACATTAAAAAATTCGTAGACATTCAAAATCACCTTTGGGTACTTTTTCCTTGCCTGATGCAAGATTTGCACATATCCATATTGATTTTGTAGGTCCTCTTCCGCTGTCTGAAGGTAACAATTATTGCATGACAATTATTGACCACTTTACCGGATGGCCAGAAGTTATACCTACTGCTGACATGTGAGCTCAGACTACTTCTAAAGTAGTAGTGCTTAACTGGATAACTAGATTTGGCTGCCCTGTATCAATAACAACTTATCAAGACCGAAATTTTGAATCTCACTTATTTAAGGTTTTAATGAAGGTCTTGGGTACACATCGCATTAAAACTACTGCTTACCATCCTCAGTCCAGTGGGCTGGTTGAGAGATTTCATAGGCAGCTTAAAAGTGCAATAATGCCTCATAACAATCCAAGATGGAATGAAATTCTGCCTAATTTTGCTGAACTTGTTTATGGTTCCACACTTAGATTACCCTCAGACATGCTGAACATTACTAATTGCATATTTCATTCTAAATCTTATGTTTCACAGCTTTGATTAGTCATGCATTCAGTTAGACCAATTTCAATTTCTGAGTACATTCAACCATGAATTTTTGTACACTGGCACTTCAAACCTGTTTTCATGTATTTTTATGGATCGATTCTATTAAACCTCCTCTAATTTCACCTTACACTGCACCTCATGCCATTGTTATATGAATGGACAAAAATTTTATTATTGAAGTAAATAACAAAAACATTACAGTTTCAATTGATCATTTAAAACCAGTGTATATATTGTTAGAACATATAGATACACCTGTAATTCCTCAGATTCCACATCAAAATGTCTGTGAAGACTCATTGTTCCAAAATAAGTTATTACTTGCAGTGGACATCGTGTTCATTTTCCCAAAACTGATCACTGTAATATAATTGAATGCTTTTTCTCTTGTGATCTGCTGCAGTAGTATATAAATACTTAGATTAATTTCTTTTGCATAGGTTTGGGATTAAAATTCTTATTTTGCTAACTTTTCATTATTTTTTATTTAATTACAATATGCATTGTATTCTTATATATTTCAATTAGAATTTCAAAGTATATCATTACTTGTATATCACTATTTATATATTATGTATTTCTTGTTTTCCGTGTGCACATTTTAAAGTATAACTTTTATTCAAATGTGTATATCTTAAATTGGAATTTTGCAATTAACCCATTTTCTGTCATGACTGTGCCACTGGGGGTATACTCTGTGGCACTCTTATGTTCGGCTGTGCATGTCACCAGATGACATTATGTTGTTCTTCATAATAACCGCCAGCATGACCAGCAAGCTCGCTCACATTGCCATTATCTCGAGTTCAAGGAATGTTTGTGTATTCGTTTAGAAGTTTCCTGTTTTATGAATAGTTGTGTTTTAGCGATGTGGAGTTATGTCTTCTAAGAATATTCACCGAGCCATATCCTTCGCACCTATAAGTTGTAACCAATTGTCATTAACCTATTATTGCTGTCTGATTTTAGATAATAGTAATAGATTTAAAATTATTGCTAACAAAATTCTAAATTTATATTATTTTTCCTGGAATCTAAAATTTGGTAATTTGGATAAAATAAATATATATCCAAATTATATAGAAATACAGGGTGCAGCAGGGTAACTTCCTTATTTGAAACATGCGCTGTCTAGAGACATTTATTCTGAGAAGGGTGGGGTGCTGCTCATTGAAAAGAGTGGTATCTATTGTTTTATGTCATGTAGGTTTAGTGCTGATCATTCAGTGGATGAGAGAAATGTGCGCTCAAAGTGGAGTCGTACTTTTCAACATTCTGCATTTTCACCCATATAAATTGGCAGTGGTGCAAAAACTTAATCCACGCGATTTTCTTTTATGAAAAAATGCATGCAAAGCTGTTCTTGATAATATGCCTCATGATTCCCTTGTGTTCTTTAGCGATGAGGCTCATTTTCATCATTCCGGTTGCAGCATGCATTAAGTAAAACATGCGATAATGGAGTGGCACAAATCCCCGAGAATTTCATGAGCAGCCCCCAGCCCCTCCTTACAGAGCGTGCGACTGTTTGGTGTGTATTGTCCAGAATAGGCATCATTGGACCATGGTTTTTTGGAGAACATTTCCCTGGCTGCCTTATCTCCTTATTGCGCGATGGTCAGTGGCCAGCGCGCTCGCATTATTTAGCCTCATGTTGTTTCTTTTTGTGGGGCTATCTGAAACCTTTAACGTCCAAAGACCCTGGCTCAACTGAAGAACAATATTCAAGCTGCTATCGACAACATACCCGTTGATATGCTGGTAAAAGTGGAAAGAAACTTCAAAAGTCGACTATCTCAATGCATTGACTAGAACGGAGGCCACCTTAATGACATTATTTTTAAACCGTAATAATTAAAAAAAAAAAAAAAAGAAGAAAGAAAAAAGAAACTTTCAGTGTCTCTCTATAACTTCTTGGAAAAAAATTAAACTGATATTGCTTATACTATTTGTGTCATTCATTTTAAAACTAAGGTAGTTCCTCTGATGCACCCTGTCGTTCGAATATATATTATGTACTAATTCAGAAGTCAAACAACAAAAATCAGCGTTAATTTACAAAATTTTCACAGGACTAGTTTCGATGGTTTTACCGAACCATCATCTTCAGCTGTGAAAATTTTGCGGTTTTGCAGCTGAAGATGATGGTTCGGTAAAACCATCGAAACTAGTCCTGTGAAAATTTTGTAAATTAACGCTGATTTTTGTTGTTTGACTTCTGAATTAGTATTTATTCGGCGTGTTATTGTGTCTTAATATATTATGTAGTTCTATAACATTAGGTTAAATACAGGGGTCTCCAGTTTTTTTGTTCCTTATAGCACAATCTGTTGGATGGCAGGCTCCATTTACTTTTTGAAGGTGAATTTATGGTTGGATAGAGGTAATAATACATGCACATAAAAATGAGATCAGTCGTGTGTCGCTTTGCGCTGGAATATGTGTTTGACGCAATTTCTGTTTCATTAAAAATGAGAAAATTTCACATAGAATTTTATTGAAAACTAAAACATTTTTATTATGCTTACACAGTGGCAGGCACACATTAAATGATTGGCGGCTGTCATGGTGCTCGTGGGCATAGGATTGGGAACCCCTGACATAATGCATCAAAAAATAAATTTCTGCAAAAATATATGCTGCATGAAATAAAATAAATTCAGTATATTAAACTGTTAAAATCTATTTTGATACCTATCTATATCAAAAGTTTGATAAGCCACATCCAGTGGTTTGGCACATCCAATAATCTGGATCTCTTTTGTTGACACTCTTGCTTAGATGACATAATCAGCATTTGATTTGGTAACATTTGGAAAGACTTGGCAGTTTATTTGTATTTTTTTTTTCAGTTAATCCACCAATTAAAGCTTCATATTTTTATATTTTTGTCGTCATTATTTTCTTAAAACATTTTCAAATATTTATAAGAGTATTGAAAGTAATAAAGTGGAAAGATGACTTAACAATTCTTCAAAAGCTGTACATTAGTAATCAATTAAAAAGAGGTGAGAATACTCATAATATTTTCTTAACTAAACTGCTTAAAATGTAATATTCCTTCTGTAGTTTATTTACATTAAACTAATACTGTGTTAAATTAGGGTTGAAATAGTGCTTTAAAATTTTAGTTTTCAGTAAGCACACTAAATAAAATTTTATGGAATCTGCACTGACATTAGTGAGTAGGCCACCATGAATTATGTTAGTTAAACACTGTTATGTTTCTTTGCAGATGTAAGAATAATTCTGTTCTAATTAGTGTGTAATTATTTTTAAAGTAAGATTTATTGAAACAATTATAATAAATCATAGTTAAACTGCTGTAGTTAATAAATTTATTGAAATAATTATAATGCATTGTATTTATTTATATAATCTCTCTCTCTTTTTTTATGATCTCCTGTTTTATATAAGATTTTGATTTGAAGAAAAATTAAAAGAGAATATTAAGCATATCTTAAATATTTCATCAGTGTAGTTTTAATTTGAAATTTTTTACAGTGTGTAATTTTATACTTAGCATTGAACCATTTCCATCTTTTTAATCTATATAAAGTTTGATATATTTAATTAATGTGTTTAATTTATAATTTTGTAGCTATAACAAAAGACAATTGAGTCGTATTTATCCAAAAGGAACACGAGTAGATTCAAGCAATTATATGCCGCAGGTAATTTAATTTTTTAAATACTTCTATCTCATGCCTCTGAAAACGTAGTATCAAGTGTAATTAACTATCACTATTTATGGGCTCATAATCACTCTCTTAAAAAGTATCAGCATCATTGGACATAATCAAAAGATTTATTGCAGTTATTTAACTATTATTGGAATTATTTAAGAATAGTTTTAAGAAGGGAAGTTGCTTTTGTGAAAGAATAGTTGGTACTAATATCTCTAGAGAAGGATAAATTATTCTAAAATTGAGAGTCTTCTTTTGTGTCATTGTTATCAAATTGCCATGCAAAGCATAATATGTAATTTGATCATATCTTGGAAAGTTCAGTGCAAGTTCTAAGCAATATACTGTACGTATGCTTTTACAATATATTCTTGATAGACATTCATTTATCACTGAGGTATGGTACTGTACAATGGTGGCACATTTTCTAATGATTTAGATTGCAAAAATAATCTAAACCAGTGGTTCTCAACCTTTTGACTAACATGTACTATCTAAACAGAAACTGAAACCTTTAGTACTATAACTACAAAATACTACTACCACCACCACTCTTGAACAGAGCTCAGATTGCATAAATTTATGAGTGTTAGAGGAAAAACTCAACCATGATGTTGGGGTTTTAATTTTTGAATTTAATAGTTAAAAATACTTTGCTTTTTTGCATACCACCTATTTTTCTCGTGCATATCACTGGTTGAGAACCCCTGAACTAAACTAATAATGCATAAAAAATTATTGGTAACAACTTTTACATTTAGAGGTAACTTATCATCTGCTGCAGTTAGGATTTGTACAAGCTCAAAACTGTTAGTGTCAATAAAGTTTAGAAGGAGTTTTAAGATTTTGTTCTTTTCAAAAAAATGTTTTCTTATTTTTATTATAACTTATTTTTATTATATCTTAATTACTGTTGTAATATTTGCAAAGGTATGTGATGGAAAATTACTTGTAATTTGAATCTCTTTCAGGTATTTTGGAATGCAGGCTGCCAGTTAGTGGCTCTGAATTTCCAGACATTAGGTAAGTTAAATATTATGTCAAGCTTCAAAAAATTGAGGATTATCATGCTGTTGTAAATGTTCTAACTTCTAAAGTACATTAAGTTTTAGCTAGTAATATTGGGGGATTTTGTTTTATTTATAAGAAAAATTAAATACAGCAAAAGATATTCTAAAGCACATACTTAATGAGCATGATATTCTAAAGCACATACTTAATGAGCACTTAATGAGCTTAATCTTAAGTGTAAGTTTAGAGACATAATGCACATTCTTAAATTTTACTTTACATGGATTCATTAGAATGTTAGATTTGTAAACGTTTTTTATTTAAAATGTGAATTTTTTAAAAATTTAATAAATTATTATTATTATTTTAAATACAGTTAGTAACAAATGATTCGCCTCCTTATAGATCTTGGTATGCAACTGAACTTGGGTATATTTGAGTATAATGGAAGAAGTGGGTACTTATTAAAGCCCAATTTTATGAGAAGGAAAGACAGGAAATTTGATCCTTTCACAGAATCAACTGTTGATGGTATTATAGCTGGAACAGTTACTATTCGGGTAAGAATGAATTTGTATTGTGTTTTTCTGTATCACTTTGGTTAATCAGTTAATCCAAGTTTCTAAATTGTATTTTCTGTAACTTCTGTATTTGTGATTACAGCTGTATTATACACCAGACTTTTTTGAGTACAAATAATAAATATCTGTAATGTGCATTTATAGTTGATGAAAATTAATAGTTTTAAAAGAATTTTCTTTCATTTTGATGTTTTTTAGTAAGTAAAGTGCATAATATTTTCCCATAAAAGATACTGAAGCATTTCTAATGTTATGTAAAAAATTTAATAGAAAAAGTCATTTTCTCAGTCATTTAATAATTGGATGTACAGGATGGCCCAAATGTTCCTAAGCAAATTTTTAGGCTTGATCAAGCAAACAGAAACAAACATTTTTGCATAAAAACAAACATTTTTTTTTTCATAAAAATATGTGGGCCACAAATGCAGCCTGAATGGGTTGCAGGTGCAAGAAGATGCATACTAAATGAATGGAACTTACTAATGAGATAGCAAGCATGTTTATGAGACTTACATATAGGTAGGCATTGCTCAATGCGATCACATTTGTCTACACTTATTTTGATAACATTAAAGGATATAAAACAATATCCTTCAAAATAACAATGGAGTTTAACTAATTTAATATACATATAAATATATAAATAGGAAACTTTCACAGCATTTTATTTAGGAAATGCAAAAGTTTATTTATAAACTGTTCATAGTGTTTCTGGAAATTATTTCACCACTGCTGTACCCTAATCTTAATATTTGGAGGGCATCTCTCGCTGGGAGGGAACATGCTAATGTGAAATCTTTTAAGATTTACTAAAAAAGCAGCCTTAGTTTGTTGTAGATATTTTCAGAAAATTTTCTTTTACACTTGAAGAAGAGAGATCTGTCTGATCACCCTCAAAATTGATACAATTATTTCAAATCTTTGTCAAACTAAGGTTGCTTTTTTTGCCTAGTTTTAAATGACTGATTGAAATCAGAAATAAACTATTTGGTAACTTACCCCCTTATTTGGCCACACTTTTCTGTCATTAGACAAATTTACACTCTCTTTTGACCTTATTTGGAAGGTGTATTTTTTATTTGCTAGTTAAAAAAATTTTTTATAAAATTTTGAGCTCATTACCTGAATTATTCATCACAAATGATTTATTTTCCGTGTTTTCTTATACAAATGGACAAGACTTCAGCAATTTGACAACAGTATCTGAATTATTATATTAACTGCAATCACATTAAGTGGTATCCACTGTATGTTTACAATTTCAAAGGAAGGTCATTCCATCTGTGGCAGTACATGCCTGGCAACATTGGTGCCTCAATCAATGAGCATATTAAACAATGCCAGACTTTACAATCAACAACTCTTGCAGTGAAATTAGTGTCACAGGCTATATACCTCTTGCACTTTTGGTTTAACCCCATAAGAAGAAATCAGTGGGCAAAGACTCAGGTGATGTTGTGGGCAAAAAAATGCGTCTTTATTCTGAAAATTATTGCTTCAGAGGATGATGACTTGCTTTGCTGAGCACCACCGCCGAGCAAACAGTATTAATTAGCACACATGAGTATTAGCCACAAGTTTCAGCGTAATAAATGGTTTGATTCCATATATCTAACGTACCGTTAGAGTTTGTCTGCAAATTTTACAGAAATTCCTATATATGCCATGTACGATTTTTGCTTATGTATTTAAAATTCACCCAGGAAGTAAGAATTTTTAATCATGTACAGATTTTATATTTTTTTTTATTTATTTATTTGTATTTTAAAATGGAAGATTTAAAATTGTTTTTTGGAATTAGCTGTTTTTGGAAGTTTAATTACTCCACTGTAATGAACATAAAGGGTAATGAACTAGTTTAAAAAATTTATATAACTGAAGCCTAATTTTTAAATTTCCTTCAGTGGTGAAATTTGTGCCTATTTATTATGCTAAATTAAATACGGTATCATCAATTTTCTTACCATTTCAAGGACATTGAAATTGAAAATCTTACTCTTTTTACTGTTAAACTTTTCTTTAAGTATGTAAATTCATAGATAATAGAGATACAGATTGTAATTGAATTGACAATGTAAAGAAAATCTTAACATAATTCTTTTTATTTAAAACAAAAATTCTCATGAATGAATTACTGGTAATTTGCAAGATATTGTACCTCAGTTGTCTGTAAGTCTGTATGTAATTACTATATAGGTATGTACCTTTTTAAAAAAGTTCTATGCTATTTGTTACTCTAATATTTAATGTTTGTTTTAACTGATGATAATTTTTACATTCATCTCCTCATTCAGTTTTAATTAAATATCTTGCATTTTGGTGTATAATAATGTAATCTTTTCACTCAGATAATATCTGGTCAGCTGCTTACTGATAAACGAGTTGGTACATATGTGGAAGTGGACATGTATGGATTACCAGCAGATACTGTTCGTAGAAAATTTCGCACTAAACCAGTTCCTAACAATGGGATTAATCCTATGTATGAAGATGAGCCATTTGTTTTTAAAAAGGTTTGAAATTTTGCAGTTCTCAAGTTTTATCATTCCCTTTAAAATTTCATTTTTTGTATTTATTTATAAGATGCATTAATCCACAAATAATGTAAAACAAATTAAGTTAACAGTAAAAAAATGAAAGTATTCTCTATGACATTAATAAAAATTGTGATTAGTAGATAGGATATTTTAAATAAATTAATAATTTTCTTTCTCATTTATGATTATATTCATCACAATTTTAAGAAATTATCCACTTAATCCTTTATTAGTGCCCTTTATAAAAAATGTGATGCAGTGAACAAAATCTGTGTAAGTGTGAAATGTGTTTAATTGACACAATTTCATATTAATTGAGCATCTGATGTATTATTTATTATATGTGCCTTGTATGCAGTAATGAATTCATTTTAATCTACAAACGAAAAAAATGTTATATATACAGCATAAAATCTTTAATCCGGATGTCCATAATCCAGAATGATCTATAATCCGGACCTCAAAGCTACAACATTTCTGCGCATGCGTATACGTATAATGCATTTACGCATGTGCATAATAACTTTACGCATATGCATAATATGTTTACGCAAGCCCGTTTAATGTATAACGGATGGTATAAGGTAGGCTAAAATTATCTAGTTATCTATTTCAGTTAATGTTGCAGATTGCATTGTTCCTTAATCTTCTAATTGGATCTGGCTTATTATTTTTTGTAGACTGTTAGAGCAATTTTATAAAAAAGTAAGCTTGAACTTTCGATTATGTCAAAAAGAGTTTCCAATTCTGGAGCTGCCAAAGGATTACTGTACAGCAATCCCACCATGTACAAAGCATGATTTTTTTGTTAGTCAAATTGCGCTTTGCGATGCTGCTGATGGGCTAACTGAGTGCAGACCAAAATCCTTTTCATCCTGTGTTGTTGAAGTAAATTCACTTTTTATCACAAGTGATCATCCGGTCCAGAATTTTGTCCTTGTGTTGATATTGGAGTTGATTAGTGAAGGCCCGAACGCGTCTGTCCTTATCTGACTTGAGTCAGCTCATGCGATACCCAGCAATTGTATTTGTAGATCAAGTTTATGCGATGCACAGTGCAACTAATGGACATGGCACTAACATCGAACTCCTTAGCAATCTCTCAAGTGGTTGCATACTGATCTTCTTCCACAAGTTCTTGCAGGCAGGCTTCATCAACATCAGATGGCCGACCAGAGCACTCTACTTCTCGAATTGCATAGTCCTTGTTTTTTCACTTTAGATACCAAACCTTCGCACTGTCATATGATGCAACATTAGTACCTAAAGCTGTGCATATGATTTGGTGACATTCTGTAGCTGATTTTTTGCAACAGAACTGGACATAAATGATAATTCTAATCTGGTAGCGTGATAGCTCTTTCAGATACCTTGTACTTAATGATAACAATATTGTTTTACAAATTGCACAACACAGTGTTCTAAAGCAAGTCTTTTTCTTTCAAATACCAAAAATGTTTGACAAAATATGATTAAACACGGAAACGTAAACTGTTTGCACAGACAGTATTTGTTGTCGTGGGAAACTTTCGTTAAAATGCGATACATTGAATGATTTGCTGTGCTCTTGAATGCCTCAGATATGCACTGTGGATTTTAACTAATGAACTGTCTTATTAACTTTTTGCGGACAAGAAAGAAATTCTATTTAATGTACCTATGTGGATTGTTTGCTTTGTGGCGTTCTGTAGCTGATTAATGATAGAATATTTTTATGATTTTAAGATTCTTCAAAATTTGCAAAATTCATTTTGGTTTTCCTGAAATCAGAAGTTAATATTTTAAAGGTTTCATCTGTGAATAAATTTTAATTAATTAATTTAATTTAATTAATTAATTTACTTTTTAGGTAGTACTACCTGATCTAGCTTGTTTGAGGATCGCAGTGTATGAAGATAATGGCCGATTTATTGGGCATCGAATTTTGCCCGTTGTAGGTCTGCGGCCAGGTAACAATTACTCATTTGATAATTTAGTAACATAAATCTGTTGTCAAATGCATGAACATTTTTAATGTATTAAATGCAATTATTTTTTCTTTTATGTGATGTTGCCATAAAAATTATATTCCGATGAAATTGGATATTTATGAAGAAACATAATAACTTTGGTCCTGCAAATTTTTTAAATTTTACATGATTTAGAACTTTAAATAGACATTTGCAATGCTACTTTTCATAATATTGCTGATTTTAGTTTATGAAATACATAATTATTAGATCACACTGATTATAAGTTGTAGAATGCTATTGCTTTATTTATCATATAAACCATAAACTGTCAGATCTTATGTTTTCATCAAGTGAAACTGTCTCATTACTGAGAATGAATATTTTAGTCTTCTATGTAGTGTAATGTATCTTCCTCCAAAAGGGTAAGCACATACTATATAAAAATATATATGGCAACAAAAAAATTTTTTAAATTTGAAATTTTTACCAGTAATAAATAACTAAAATATTAAGTTATTCCTATTTTAGTTGAAGCATTATTTTATATACAATGATTATTATTACTATTGTTATATTATTATTATTTTGTGTGCATGAGTCATACATTATCCTTCTGCTTTTTAATCTAATTTATATCATGTGAGCTGATTGCAGTTTATTGTTTCTTAATTAAAACAAAGCACTGTACATTTCAATATCATGTTTAAATGCTAATAGAATGTGCAAGCTTTGTCCAATTCTAAGATGCCTGTGATTCTGAAGTACATATCTTAATTTTAGTGCCATTGACAACAAAAGAGACTTTTGATGCTAAAGAATCAAAAGATGTGAAATAAAAGGCTAAAATACATGTGCCAAATATTTATAATAATTGACTTGAATTTATTCACAACAATACTAGATCTGCTTAAATCAGTAATTCTATGGCATTAATTATTCCAAAATAATTAGTAATTTGAAGAAATCTGTTATTATAAAATGCACTCCATTTCTGTTAGTATTTGTATTTAGAAAAAATTGCATCTAGAAATAAAGAAATATGTTGTATTTTCTAATTTTCTATCCAAAAAAACATTTTTTAAGATTAAAATATCTTGCATGACGAATGAAATTATTTAATTATAAACTCAAGCATGAATATTGTGGTGGATTATTTATTGTTTTATTTTAGAGGAAAAAGACCATTTTCTACAATTTTGTTTTAAAATTGCAAAATAAATTTTAGGTTATCGCCATATATCTTTAAGGAATGAATCTGGGCAGCCATTGCAGTTTCATACCTTATTTGTCCATATAACTGTGAAAGATTACATTCCTGATGGTTTTTCAGGTAATTTTAGCTATACATTTCATCTTTCTAATTTAAATACTATTATAAATCTTTGAACTGGTATTAAATAGTTATTTAGTATTCAGTCATGTCAGTTATATATATCAGGAAAGGAATTAAACATAAAGTGATTGCTTTTGCGTGAAGAGAACTAATAATTTCTATTTTTGAAGTGAATCAAGAGATGTAATAGATTTAAATCCTCATGGACTACTAGGAGTTGGAATGATAGTTAAACTATCCTGTTTGATAAATGGAATTTTCACTACCCTGACCAATTTACGTGCTAGAACTTCTGCTATTTTAATAGAAGTAAACTAAAATGTCTGAACAATGCTTTAATGTAAAAATTTTCACGTTTGTAAATTTTTATACATAGAGTGTGGATAGTTACCCATCACATATATAAATAAAGGAAGCAAAATGAAGTTACAAGAATTGGTGCTTACTCCTGCATATACACATGTGTATTGTTGTGTGTTAAATGATCCTAAGCAGACAGGAGGAAAAGGAAAACGGGATCTTTTATCATAAATTGAAATAATAGTAATTAATACTGGTGAAGGTAACAATATAATTCCAGCAGTAAAACTTTTCCTGCAAAAAGTTTTCAGGACGACAGTTATTCATTTAGTATTATTTTTACTGCAATTTACCTGGCACATTTGATAAGAACTTAAGCAGAAGTAATTCACCTTTTCCAGGCATAAGATATTTTGCCAAAAATCCCATTTTATGCAGGGAAACTACATATTATGGAAGATGTACTATTGAAATATAATGCGATCAATTATCATAGTAAGAACTGTTAACTGCCTTGAGAGAATTCACGTGATTTTTTATTTAGCACAGTTTATATGGCAGCAGAACCATATTGCTGAGAATAACAATCTGATGCAATTTTGAATACTGTTGCTAAACAATGTATGCCAGGGGGGAGAAATATTTAAAAATATGCTGAAGTCAAAAATATAATTCCTCATCAAGGATTAGAAGGTTGGCAGTGTAGTAATAACTGATACCCAAATGCACTGTCTCATGCCCTGCCCTAGGTTTTAGAAAATTGTAATGAGGACTGCTATTTAATTTCATGTACTGGGGCATTATAAGCTAGTTATGCTCCTAAATGCTTAATTATTGCCTATAAATTAAAAATTATATATGGAAAATTACAAATAAAGCATAATAATGAAATAATAATTTATAATAATGAAAATAGATTAAAAAATTTGTTTACAATGAGGTAAACCAAATATTTACATAAATATGTAATGCAGTATCACTTTTTTTATAGCTTTTTGTAAGAATTAAGGATATATAAATTTTTCTAAAAGTTTTAGAAAAATTATAAATAGGAAGTTATATGGAAATGTTAAAATTTAAAATAAATTTTAAATTTAAAACTCGGTTTTCTCCTTTAAACTTAAGAAACTGTAGTAAATGGGACTTATCTCCCCACTGTTTGGGTGTGTTATCTATTTAACATTATCCATCTATAAACAAATTATTATGGAAGATTTTTATCTCTATATTATAACATTTAATATTTCTGAAGTATATATTTACAGGTTGAATGACCTTTCTTTCAGAACTGGCTGATGCCTTAGCAAATCCTATAGCATATCAATCTATGGTTGAAAAGCATGCCTGTCAACTAATGGCGTTAACAGATGATGATGAAGTAAGTGTGCATGTACCAAATTGTTTTAAGTAAGTATATATATATGTATAAGTAAAAGTATTTATGATTATTTTTAAAAGCCGGAAACTTCCGCTAAAGCTGCCAAGTAATAAATCAATAATTTATTATTAGAAAAAGTATTTATATATCATCTCTAAGGAAAAGAAATTTAATTTAATTTACTTGTCAAATTTAAAGTATGAATTATTAGAGAAATTATTATTTCTTTAGTAAAAGTATAAAGTATGAATTATTATTACTTTAGTTAAGTATTTTAAGTAGCTTTCCAAATCAGTACCCAAAGTTATTTAGTTTCTATTGCAGTAAAAATTCTTTAAAAATCTGCATAGAAAAAATCCCTTAACCATAAAAATTCCAAATATTAAATTCAGAATCCAAAGCACTGAAAAAATAGCTATTGTCATTGATTGCAGATTAATTAACTTGTCAAGGGTAATAAACCAATCTACTATCAATTAACAATAACCAATAGATAGATAGATACAGATATACAGATATCTATATTCAGTACTTTATGTATTTGTGAAAGCCCTGTTCTTGAAAAGTTAAAGGGCAGCCAGTTTTGTTACCCGAGAATTTAAAAAAAAAAAAATTTTGGGGGGGGGGGGTAGAATTTATAGCAAAACAAAGAAAGTGTAGTAACATATTGAATTGGTAGGAGATGTAAATGTAAGCTACTAGACTTGTTTATTATTATTGTTGAAGTTGATGACTTTATAAGTCAAAAGCTGCTTGATAAGTTTTACTTAGCAAAAATTTCATATTCTAAGTTATTACACATTTTCTGAATTGGTAAAACATGATCTTTTAATTTGAATTTTTGAAATTAATTACTGTTATGCACAGAAACTCTTTGGGAGTTTGTTGTATGTATTTGTTTTAATTTATGTTAATGTTACTTAGTATGCAATTCTACAGCTGCATTACTTTGTCTATAAACATTATTGAAAAATATAAACTGCATAACACTGCTACATATTCAGGAAAAGGCTGTTGATCATACATTAGAGAATTTTATTGATTTGATGCACTAAAAAGTGGAAATGGATGGAAATGAACTTATGCAGACTAAAATAAAAGTATAAGTTGTAGTTTGTTCATAGCTGGTTTGTAGTCTTTTTTAGTGCTTTTTGCCTTTTTTTTTTTTTTTTTTTCCTTTGATAAAAAGCAAGGAACTTAATAGTACTTTCACATCTCGTATCTGCTTGTTGATGAACATTGTAAAATTATGAATGATGCTACTGATTGTTATACAAAGATTTCATTTAAGTGATATACTTTTTGTCCAGTAATTATTTAAAATGACAGATGGTGGTATTTGTAGTTAGCATATTTTATGGCTTTTCTATAACTTTTATAAAATCTTCCCTAACTTTACGATCTTATGCCCAAAATTATCCTTTTTAAGAATTTTGCAATTTTTTTAAAGACACCGATATATATGCTAATTTCATTATTTGCCACCATATCTGTATTTTAACTGTATATGCTCAGAATACCCTTGGGTTACCCGCTTAATTTGTCCTTTTTGTTAGATCAAGAAGTTCTTCATTTTTTTAATCGGAATTCTGTGGTCCATTTCTACATTTTAAAGACTTATCAACATTTTGTCGATTTTAAGATGGCTATTATGATTATATATATATATATATTGCAGCAAGGAAAAATATCCAAGGCTTTCCTATACTGCACCTTAAGCTTTTTATATTCGTCATAGTAATGTTGAATGTGAATGAATATTCAGTCATGTACAGAAAATAAGGAGAAAATTTATATCATCTTTTATATATGCAGCTTTAGAAAGGCTGTTAAATGGCAAAGAAAAAGAAGATGCCGTGAAAATAATTTCCTTGATATTTTAATAAAAATGCTCCAGAGACAACATTGCCATCAGTTAAAAAATCTTTAATTATGCAAATTCCATCTCTGTCTCTTAGTAATTTTCAGTATAGTATTAGTTTAAATTAGATCTGAATTGTTTAAGTCTACTATTGACATTTGTGTGACTTTTTATGAAGCGTTAACCAATGTTTAATCTGTAGCCAATGTTTAATCTGTGTTCCATGCAATAGAATGTACACTAATTATTAAATAAATGAAAGATTCCCCCCCCCCCCCCACTTAGGATACAAATTTATGAAAATTCCAGAATGAAAAAATATTAACTCTCAAACATAAACTTTGGAGTATCCAAGTAAATTCTTATATATTTTACAGCAAGATTACATTATAAATATTTCTTTAACCTAAATCTTACATTGTATAGTTAATCCCTTATGTTAAGGGATTATGCAGTTATCTTGCAATTGCATGGTTACACAGCACAAAAATAACTTCATTTTTGCATGAAAATCTTCCAACTTTTCTATATTACAAGGTTGATATACATTCTTAGTAAATAACATGAACTCATGAAACACTGACTATAATTTAAATAAATTAATTAGCATATTTAGTTTTGTATGTGTTAAATCCTTTCAATAAATAAAAATAAAGTGAAATTACATGAGTTAATTGTAATGGAAATTGAATAGTGAAAGTCATATAATCATTGAGATTGATTTATAAGAAATGAAAATATATATCTGTTTACAACTTTAAATTGTAGAACATAGATATTTGATTTTTAAATTCAGTCAAAAGTTTATTTTTCAACTGAATATATGTTTCAAAATCCTGCAGAGCTAATAAATTTGCATATAATGTTGTTCTAAACTGTTTTGTGTGGGAATAAATGAAAAAAAATTAATATCAGGTTTTAACGAAAGTTTCCTACTACTTCAGATATTGTCTGCACAAATAGTTTGCTTTGGCACGTTTAATTATAATTTAGTCAAACGATTTTTGGAATTTGAAAAAAAGAGACTTCCTTTAAAATACTATGTTGTAAAATTAGTTAAAAAAAACATCATTATCATTAAGTACAAAGTGTCTGAAATGGAACTATTATGCTACCATATTAGAACTTATCATTTACTTCCAGTTCTGTTGCAAAAAGTTAGCTACAGAATATCACTAAATCACGTGTACAGCTTTAGGTGCTAATGTTATATCATATGACACTGTGAAGTTTTGGTACCTAAAGTTTAAAAACAAGAACTGTGACATTCAAGGAGCAGAATGCTTTGCCCAGCATACTGATGTTGATGAGACTTGCCTGCGAGAACTTGTGGAAGATCAGTATGCAATTACTCAAGAACTTGCTAGATGTTAATGTTAATTAGATGTTAGTGCTAGTTCTGATACACATCACATAAACTTGACGTACAAGTACAATTGCTGGGTGCTGCATGAGCTGACTCAAGCAGATAAGGACAGACATGTTTGGGTCTGCACTAATCAACTGATCAGCTTGAATATCAACACAAGAACAAAATTCTTGACATGATCATCACTTGTGACAAAAAGTAGATTTACTTAAACAACACAGGCCAAAACAGGGGTTGGTCTATGCCTGCTGAGCTCGTCGGCAGCATTGCAAAGCGCAATTTGACTAACAAAAAGATAATGCTTTGTATCTGGTGGGATTGGCATGGCATTATCCACAAAGAGTATTTGCAAAAAGGTAAAACCTTCGACAGTTAGGTGTACAACGAGAATCTTGTTGCTGTTGATGCTTCTATCAAGAAAATACATTGAACTGAGTTCTGGTGCAAAAAGGTAATGTTCCGTCAAGATAATGCAAGACTGCATATGTCTGCATTCACTGGCTGGACTCTGTATTGATTTGAATGGTATTTTTTGTCACACCCACCATATAGCTCTGACATTGCTTCTTCAGACATCTACCTTTTCTCACACCTGCAGGTACATACTGCTGGTGTAATCTTCCATTCTGCAGAGGACATCCGAATTGAGGTTGATCTGTTTTTCTACTCACTGCCACCAAGTTTCTGGGCCAAAGCCAAACTACCAAAATGGCAGAAAATCATAGATTTAGGTGGTGATTACTACCCACACTAAAGGTACTGCTTTCACCCCTAGCTTTATAAAGAACATTTTTTGGCATAAAACTTTCGTTACGACCAGGTAAATTATGTCATTTAATCATTTAGGAAAATTCCAAAATGGGATGAACATAAAACAAAAAAGATATATAAAAAGAAAATTGTAGCAAATTACTTAACTTGCTACAAAAATAAGTGGAAAAATAAAAGTTTATTCTGTATGCGTTTTACGCTTATAACATTCCCAAAGAAGATATTATGCCTAAAGTGTGAATGCACTATATATACAGCATATAATTTCTTTCATGACCCACCATTATGTACATGTAAAATTTAATTAATATCTATATAAATAACCCTTTGTGTGTATATATAGATATATACACACTAAAACAGTTTTGGATTCATCTATTTATGTGTGTAGGAAACATTTTTTTAAGGGGGGGGGCAGGAGCTGGCAGTAAACTATTATGGTACTATGTATTTGTGTATGTGTTTTCCTTTGTGGTACTTTCATCATTAAAGCGAACTTAATGTTACTGGCATAATCTAATGTACGAGTCCATCAAGACAGAAGAGAAACATGCTAAAGTCAAATATATTATTAGAAAAGCAACATCCTTGTGCTTGGCATATATTTTAATAAAAACTTGGCTAAAATCTATGCCAAACACAAGGTTGTTGCTTTGCAAATTTTATGTATGAGTCCTTGTTATTTAATGTTCTTGCAGATGCCATTTGTCTAGAGACCTCATTGATTCTTTGTATTTATAGTTTTAGATCCAGTAGTAATAAGTAGGATGACATTCTGTTTTGTTTATGTTTCATAGTACTTGCAGACATTTTCAAAGCTGTGTCACTAATACTTTTAATTACATACCTTGTTTATACCTATATGAGAAAATTTGTATGTATTGATAGGTTTCAAGAAAGATGTGTAGAATTTTGCCTTATCAGAAGCAGAGAAGAAATATCTAATAATAATAGTGAATAATCAGACATATTCCATTAGACGGGCACGATATTGAAATCCTATTAATTGTTGACCATGTAATCATGTACAAGATCAAGCAGAAGTTTTGCCAATTTTACTTAATAATAATAAATTATAATAAACTGCTTTACTATTGGAGAAGTCAAACAACAAGAATCAGCATTAGATTTGTAAGTTTTGCAGGACTAGTTTCGATGGTTCTATTGTTAAACCATCAAGACTAGTCGTACAAAATTTACAAAGGTAACACTGATTCTTGTTGTTTGACTTCTTCAATAATCATTATTCAACTTAATATTTTAATCTAAACTGCATGCTGTTTTTATGTTTTAGCAAGTTTTTGATGCTTTATTCTAAGAGAAAAACCATTAATTAGAGGCATGTGGAAAACGTTTAAGAATAACTCATATGGGATGTAAGAAAAATGGAAGGGACAATTTCAAAGTTAAAAAGAGTCTGTGAGGGTTTTAGGAATTACTTTAAATACTTTAAAACTCTTTTTAGACAGATGATGTGAAAGAATCAGACCGATCACCTGCGAAGGGAAGTATTGGATCTTCTGATGCTGGAAGACAAGCTGTTTCTAAAGAAGAAAAAACTGATTCATCTGCATCTCAATTGTCCAGGCAAAGTGCTGTAAATGGGAATATTCAAAGAATGGCTCCATCCAGAAGTACTTCACCTGCAGCTCTACCTTCCCTGAAACGTCAAGAAACATTACGGAGTCAGTATTTGATTTGTTTGTAACATTTTATTATTTGAAGGTATTTTTAATTGAATAATTTGTGTAGTGTAGGTGCTTTAATGCATTTACATGTCACTGTATTGTTTTAAATTTGTATTTTTTTGTTCCATGTTGCCATTTTGTAATTTTTCTTATTTAATTAATACTTTATGGTAGAGTTATTAGAAAATGAATTGGCAAAAAATTTTAGCTTCTTGGATTGTTGTTAGTATCTTCTATAGTATTATTATTTTATTTTATTTTTTGTGAAACTGCTCACACCTGTCACTCAGATTTATTAATTTGTTTGAGTGACTGAATTAATTTTGAAATTAATGATTAGCAAATTGAGATTTAAATCAAAGTTAAAAAGAGTCTGTAAGGGTTTTATGAATTACTTTAAATACATTAAAACTCTTTTTAGACAGAATTAGTAGAATTGAGCTACAACTATGAAATTCTGCAATAGTATAGTGTTCGAGTAGATAAACAAATGATAAAAAATTGGGGCAAAATAAATGTTTTATTTACAAGTAGCAGTACAAAGAATGTGAAAATCAGTATATGGTAGAGCCATTTCTGTATAGTGGCTCATATATCAGCAGCTATATAAGCCAATAGTCGGTTGGGTGTGGAGTGTATCAAGTTGCCACCCCTCAGGGGCTCACTTTTATAAGTACGGGTGTGGCAATCCCGAGGTACCCTAGCCCTTCAGATGATCATCATCTTGGTGAGACGGTAGTCATGATCCTGGAACCCCAGTGATCTATCCTCTTTTCCGTCTCCTTTCCTCTGAGCTGATACAATTTTCTTTCCATTCTCCCTTGTGGTTTTCCTCTTCAGAGGTTCGGACTCGTCTTGAAAAACTGAAACAGCCCTTGTCTCTAGTTTTTGAGTGGCGAGAAAACTGCCCACATGTTTGCCGTATGTGGAGACCCATGTTGCTGGAAAGGAGGGTCCTGGTAGTTGAGGGGCAAGGTACTGTCCCCAACACACTGCTTTGAGAAACGGGAAGCACTTTAGTCATCCTCATGGGTGTCAATTGGCTAGTCACTAGTCCTAGTGTCAGTGGCTCGGGGATAAGCTCTCGGGAGTACCTGCTTTTGGGAAAGCTGACTGTGGAGCTTCAGTTTGCGTATAGGTCTAGCTAGCCCTAACACAGGTTTCTGTGTTCTCTTGTCTTCTATAGTGGATGGGGTGGTTGGACCCGAATCTTTATTTCATTCAAATATGGCTGAATCAAATTTCCATTCAACAATTGAACACAGTTGCATACATTTATTCATTTCTGAATTCGGTCCAGATAACAGAACAGTACCAATAAATTTAGGATTTGCTACTATACAGGAGTATATAAATATATTTTATCATTTCAAAATTTTGTTGTTCTTGTGTCATGCATCTGAAAAAATCAGAACAAATAAAAATGCCAATTCTGATATCAATTCAACAAGTCTACTACGTTTTCTTGTCATTAAAAACTGTACAGGCGATCTGCAAAAACTGTCTCCATTTTTGATTCAAAAATATATTGAATCTTGCATTGGAGAACCAAAGAATATCAAATGGCTGCACTCTGGAGATCTTCTAGTTCAAACTATTTCTTCTACTTAATCTGCAATACTCCTCGGTTCGGTTTAAACAAACTTGGGCAAATTGATGTAAACGTGTCAGAACATAGAACATTTAATTTTTCTCTTGGTGTTATCTCAGAGACTGACCTCCTTTGCGTTTCAGAAGAGGAAATTGCCTCTGAGTTGTCTGACCAGAATGTCTGTGCTGTCAAACGGATTAAAATGCACAAGGAAGGTCAGTTGATTGATACAAAGCATATAATCCTGTCCTTCAAGTTATCTGATCTGCCAAAAAGTATTAAGGACGTGTACTTACACTACCCCATAAGACCTTACATGTCGAACCCTTTGCGATGTTATCAGTGTCAGCGCTTTGGTTATTCGGAAAAGTCCTGTCGTGACAAAATCAAATGTGCAAGTTGCTCCATGGAAGACCACGACAGCGAAAATTTCAGTGCTGAACCGTTATGCGCGAATTGGTAAGGAAGCCACACAGCATATTCACGACAATGTCCAAAGTGGAAATCAGAAAAGGAGGCGCAGGCAGTAAAATTAACAAGAAATATATCTCATGCAGAAGCAGGGAAATTAGTCACAGATGCACAGCCCCAAAAATTATCATATGCTTGTGCATTAAAATCCTGTAAATCAGTAGCCACACAGACAACAATAGGTTTAATAACCAAACAGCCAATCCAAAAATATGAAAAAAAAAAAAAATTAAGAAATTGGTAGCAGCAATGATAAAAATCAACATAACAAGAAAATAAAAGATAATCAAACTAAAAAAAAAAAAAAAAAAAATTAAAAACTGTCATATATCCCAGTGTGAGCTCCTTTGTGAGCCTCAGTTCAGACAGTATAGATTGAGATGGATGTGGAAGAGGGACTGGATGTCCCCAAACACCTGCTTCCACGAAAATCAAAACAACAGCTACGAAAGAACAAACAGCAAGTGTAATGGCCATCCTCATTTCATGGAACTGTTGCAGCTTCCACCAAAATCTCGATAATGTAAAAGATTTGATAGATTTACACCCCTTGTGTGCTTAGCAATTCAAGAGACTTTGCTAAAACTTGTTCAACTATCAAAGCTTTGGAGGTACTGCCTCACAAGGAAAGATAATTTAGGAGGTGATGGCCTCCTTACCTCAGTCATATCAACATATCAATCAATATGAATTAGATGACCTAATAGAGCAGCTACCTAAACCCTTTATCTTAATAGGAGACTTAAATGGACATAGTCCATTCTGGGAAAATAAGGACAGAAACCCTCGAGGCAGGCAGATTGAACAAATGATCAAAGATCATTGCCTCTGTCTCCTCAATAATGGGCAGAAGACCTACTTCCATGAGCCTTCAAGGACCTTTCATGCTCTTGATCTTGCCATCTGTTCTTCATCTCTTATACCATTTTCCACCTTTCATGTTGGCAATTATCCTTATCATAGTGATCATTTTCCCATTTTTGTATCTATCACACAAGAAAGATCAAATCTCATGCAGCATCTCTTCTAATTGCATGATCATCTCATGCACTGGTGGCCTGGGTACATCCCGAACCACTACAGTGGCTGACTGTGCCTTCACTGAACCACTGATTCCTGCAATGACAGTAAACATATTGCTTAGACCAGCATCCCAGCTGATCTGCTTGTTTGACCAAATGACCTGTTTTAGACCTATGATGCAACCTCTCTCAAAGTCTGACAACTATTTGTAATGCCTTTGAATATGTCATAAGGGCATCTTTTGTTACAATGTTGCATATCCAAGTCCTCAGCATGTTTGTAAATGCTTGTCATTTGCTGCACTTGCCCTTTTCTACCAGATGCACACTGCATATGCATGTTGTATTGCTCCACTATGCTGATTGGTGCTGCAAGCTTAATCATTTACACAACTCGCTAAACCACATTTGTATGTCACGTTTCATAGTTGTGGCTCAAATTTTTCTGGGTGCATATTTTTTTTTTCAACAGAATGTTATATATATTAAAAATTATAGCTTAGATATTATTTGTAATAAGCCCCTTAAGTCTACTTTATAATTTGGTTGTTTCCTATTTCTGTCCTGAAGGTGCTTATAATAAATTGCTGTAAACTGTGTCATTTCAAAATTAAGCCTTTTCACATTATTTTTACATAATGCTAATAACACCACATGTCATTAGTGATACATGCTAATGATACAGCCAACTATGACTTTAAATTTTGTGAACTGAAACTTAAATAGCCAATCAAAACAAATGAAATTATAAGTGAATACCCTTAACTGAGGCTTCATTTGAAATTTATGCATTTCATCTCTGGCTTGAAAGCTTGCTGTCTGCTTCTGCTGTTGCTTTAATAGATTCTTCAAATATTGCTATATATTCATGCTTCATTAAATATTCCCAGAAGACTAAAAGTACCAATGTAACTATTCAAGTGCAGAGTTAAATATGTCTAAATTGAAAATGTGATGTGAGCAATGAAAAGTGCTCAAACCACTGTGACTATACCTCATTCTTCATAAATTGGCTGTTATAGTTAAATTCTGTTTTATCATCAACATCTAAATAATGATGAATTGACACATTTAGTAATATTGCTCTTCATTTTTGAATGCTTAAATGCATTTTTTTCCTAAACAAAGCTCTTTTTTCACCAAGAACCTTTGAAGAATTGATTAAGTAAAATTTAAGTTAAAAAATAGGTAAATAAAATGCTATCTTTAATGTGCAGAAACAATTAAAATCTCAAGTTTCTTCTCTAGTTTTTCTTCCTCTCTTTTTGTACTAAAAAAAGTTACTACTTATTGTAAATCACTCTAGACCACATCACTTCAAAATTTCAAACATGATTTTAAACCTGTATTTAATAGTCACAGAATCCCATGAAAAACTCTGCTAAATGAAGGAATTCACAATATAGTGGCTGTGATAAAGCATGCTTTAAGATGAAGATTTTTTTGATTTAAAATGCAAAACAGTAGTAAAATAAAATATAAATTCAAAATTATATATGTTAATGTATCCATTCCAAGTTATGCATGAAAATATTAATTTCAAAACAATTCATAAATTCATTCTGAAAGATATTGAGTTATTTTAGTTTTTTTGATTGAGGGGAACATCATTTCATGTCAAATCTCACATCTTTGTAATTTGCAGTAAACATCTCCTGATACATTTTTTTTTTAACCTATAAAACTACCAAGTGTGTTTAACATATCTTCTGGTGAAAATTTAATACGTTCATTGTCATTAATATTTTTTTCATCATCATTCACTTTCTGGCTGCTGCTTTTTATGCTCTTCAATATAGGTTCAATATAGGCTTCAATAGTAAGAATTCTTGAGATTTCAACATTTTTATCTGTAAATCTTATAATTACTCATTATTCTTTAATGTCCTTAATTTCTCAACTGCAGCCATGTATTATTTGGTTCTTTATCTCGCCCATCGTCATCTTTGTCTCAACTATTATCAGTAGTATCAAGCTTGGTGATGAAGCCAGCCTTTTTTGAAGCAATTGCAAATAGTTTTTTCAGCAACATCATAATTCCATTTTTTTGCAGGTTCAGATATGCAGTTACATAAACTTATTACACATAAAGGCTGATTGCTTTCAACTCCCATTAAGGCTGTCTTCAAAATTCTTCTGTGATAATGCATTTTAACACTTTTTATAAAATGAGCTCTGAATAACAATTATTGGAGAAGGAACAAGAATCAGCACATGTTAGGAAAGTGAGGCATGTGCTAAAGAACATGAGGCACATGTTAGAAAAAAAGAAACATATAAACCCCCTTTTTACCCAAACACTGTTGGTCAGAAAAATCATATTTTTCATTTTTCTGCAGTCAAATTTATTCAAAGTATCTTCTTTTGTTGAATTAAATTTTCTAGAGGCATTCATAAAACATTTCATAAAGACATTCATAAAAAATCTTTCAGTTATACTTCATGATCCCAATTCCAATTCATCTTTACCCTCAGCTTTTCAGGAAATTATTTCATAGTTGTTTCCATTTTTTCATCAATAGATGGCCCCAGTAGCTCGACTTTCTTTCTCTTATTCTTTTCACCTGAGCACTGGCTTTTCTTTTCATCAGTTGCATTTCTGCAGCTGAAGAAGAAGGTTCTATATTTAAATGTTTGAAACTAGTCCTGCAAATTTCAGAATATTATGCCGATTCTTGTTGCTTCTCTAATAATTTTTATACTTATCTTTGATATCAAGGTGAGTACTGCAGTTGTCTGTCACTTAAGCAATTTTTGGCTTCTGTACAGCCATGTAGTTGTTTAATTTTTTTTAGCATCTTTTCAGAAATTTCTGAGGTCATCCATAAGTTTTTGGAAATCATAATCTACTTCTAGTGCTTTGATACCTTTAAAACATCTTGTATTCTTATCTTTTTTCTGGAACTTCCAATTTTTAATTTCCTTCCATTTCTGCATATAGCAGAAAGTCTGCATTAACTCCAACTTTGTCGTGCTTGCCTCCAAGACATTTCTCTTTTTTGAATGTTAATGTTTTTTGTGGTAAACTTTGATAAAATAAGGTGGTTTTGTCAGTGTTGAAGATATCTTTTGGCTTGTACATTTATGGCATCATTTAGTTTCTGATCTTTCCATATTACACTGCCATCTTCATTTCTATCTTTCCTTTTGCCATGTGTAATTTTTGCAATTACTTTTAAGTCTTTTTCTGAATTTCTCCAGCCACCTATTTCTTGTTTGAAATTCACTTTGTTCTAAAAATTTGGAAAACTCTAATTTTTCAAGTATCAATGGCCCTGATGTTGATAAATTTTCTTCTCACACTGTGTGCAGCCATTTTAATGTTGCTTTGCTAACATTTTCATACATTCATGATTTTTACATTTGACACTTGGATCGATGGAATCAAAGCTTGATGATTTTGTCCCAATTTTTTAGGATTGTCAATGAACTGTTTTCCAAAATACCATATTTTATGGCAATGTCTTTCATCTTTAGGCCTTTACCATTTCTTCAAGAATCAGCATTTTTCCTTCAAGTGTTAGTGTCTGTTTCAGATTTTTATCATTCAGTACATACTGATAACTAACTTTAAAAGGATTTGCAGTATAAAAACCATGAAAAACAGAAGAAAAAATAACTTGCAGGTATTGCCTAACCTTAAACTAATATGGGAAATTGGATTACTGGGGAAATTTTAAATAATGAGTGAATAAATGCTTTCACATTCAAGAATCTCCCTCTTCTCCCTTCATCTCTCATGTAGAATGGAATATGAATACAGACAAAGAGCCACTTGCTTTTCTTTAGGAGAACAGCTTCAAAATAGCTTGTAGTCTTCTCAAAATGGATAAAGAGAAGTCTTGTATGCTTTGCAAGGGAATCTTGTACCATTCTTCCTGTAAAACGTTGGCAAGTTCAGTTAATGATGATGGCGGTGTATAGCGCTTACGCAGATTTCTGTCCAAAATGTTCCACAAAGGCTCAATAATATTGATATCTGGTGACTGGGGCCATACCTGATGTGAAAGTTCACCCTCATGCTCAGAAAACCAGTCATGGACGATGTGAGCTGAGTGAACAGGACCTTTGTCGTCTTGGTAATATGGCATCTCCATTGGGGAACAAAATTTGTACGATGGGATGGACGTGATCAACCAAAATAGTCACATAAGTCCTTGGCAGTAATGTGATCTTGCACAGTAATGATGTGTTCCATGGAATACCAAGATATGGCTGCCCAAGCTATGACTAAACCTCTGCCATGTTTTACTCTTGGCAGCAGACAATCTCTCATATGTCTGAATAGCATTCACCAGATGTAAACTCACCTAGAAGTCAGGAATAGTGTGAAGCAAGACTTATGTGGCCAAATTGATAGTCTTCCATTGTTCTACATTCCAGGTTTTATCACTTTGTCACCATTTCCTCCTCTTACAGCCATTTTGATCACTGATGAGTGTGACTTTTGAATTACAGCTTGCCCAAAAATACCCTGCTTGGTTTGGCAAATGTGACATTCAGTTCACCAGTCACTTTTGTTGCTGTAGTCCTCTTATTTTTGATCACAATCCTCTTCAATGATTGCCTGTCATGCTCACTCAACACTCATTTTTGTCCACACTGTGATTTAGCAGATGCCATTTTTCCGGTTTTCCTGTATGAGTTAGAAATCGTAGCTACTGTGCCTCTTGAAAAACCAAACACTTTATTATCTTGGTTATGGAAGCACCCACCATACAAGCCATAAATAACATTTTGCTCATGTCCAAATTCATTTAGCTCTGACATGATGCACTCAAAACTCACAGAACGCTCTCGGGATAATGACGACACCTGTAACATATTGAGGATGTTTGTACAGGTGGTGTTAATGAGCAAACATATCAGCACTACCAACAGCTTGTGCAAGAATAAAAATTTCAGTTCAAACATGCATTTTACAAGGTAGTTCCATATTTTTGTCCAGGCCTTGCATATATTCCCTTCCAAAACTGTTTGTAGAATGATATATATAGGTGAGTTTAAAGGTAAATTAGATTTAAGTTTTTATTAATTTTGAGCTTTATAAAGGACTCAAAATTTGGATAATCACTGATTTTTTTTTTTTTTTTTTTCCTATGTTTATCTTTCCCTACATTTGTAGCATATGTCAAAAGGGCAATATACTTCTCATAAAACTACTCTTTTTTGGAGGGGGTCTTCATAAGATGGCTGTTTTGTAATAACTATAAATTTTGATTGAAATTTTATATGTTTAAAAAGTTTATATGTTTATGTTGTTTACAATTTTTTCTTTATATTTTTAATAAAATTCATTAATGCATTATTTCTTTTGCTAAATTTATGATAAAGCAAATACATAATAATAGTATTAACTGTAAAAAATATCTTTTTTATAATAATACAATTCCAAAATTTCTGGTGAATGCAATTTTTGGTACTTTTTGATTATTTGCATTTTCAGTGAGAAGTTGCAAACTTATTGGCAACTTTAGAGAGCATTGGTGACTTTGGAGCGAAACTTTGTTTGGGTATTTGATGTCTTAGTTCAACTGTGCATCCAATTATCCATCCTATTTTTTTAGCATTTTCCTTTTTTCACAGAAGATGCACATTTTTCATTTTCTTTGCATTGTTCACCTCATGTTCACAGCAATTTGTTTTCACTTTAAAAAAATCAGAGAATTACACAAAATCACCATCACACACAACGTTGACACTAAACAGCAGCCACAATCATAGCTGCCCAAGAACAGTTGAAACTCCGATGTAATGAAAGTAACAAAAGGTAAACTTCATAGTTTCCTTAGATTCAGTTACAAAATATATATATATACTTAATGCAAAAAGAAATACTAATCAGAAAAATAACTGTAAAATTTTTAAAGTATAAATCCTTAGGTACCCAGTCACATAACTACATGTATACCTGGGTTGCCACATGAATACTTTGTGGTTACATCAGGGTTTGCTTCACCAGTACTTTTTCATGGCCTTTTGGTAGAATATATGATAATTAAAAAGTACTTAATTTTTTAAATAAAAGATAAAATGTGTGGCTAGTATTATTTATAATGTGCTTTAAATGAGCCAGGTATTTTTGTGACACAGTTCTATTGCTTTTATGAATATTAATAACAATATCATTAATTTATGCATAAATATTTTTTTATGTAATGTATTTTCATCTTATGATTTCAAGAAATTTTTTGATTACATTTTGATCACCTTGTTATAGCAGCATTGTAGAGAGGTCATTGTTTCTTTCTTTTAATTTTAGTTTAGATTCAGTGGTAATAGGCAAATATGAACAGTATGTGTTGTTTATTTTTCATATCAGCTGTAGACACTTTCAAGGATGTGTGTCATTGGTATCTTTTAGTTACATATCTTGTAGACATCCCTATGAGGAAATTTGTATATATTGATAGATTTCAAGATACATATTTAATATTTGTTCCATTAGATCAGAAGATGTTTCATGAAGTGAATAGCTGTTATGGGTAATTTGGATTATTTTATATAGTTCTAAATGCAATCATGTAGACTTTGTACTTATGGATTGCTCTTATACAAAGTTAGAGGATTAAGAGGATTTTAAAAAACATAATATCACATATATCACATTTAAAAAGGCTCATTTAAATATGTGAGAAAAGCTAATATTGAATTGCAGTGTATGATTAAACCGTTCCTTAAAACAAAAGATGCATATTGGAGCTGTGGCTCTATAAATAGCATGATATTAAATGTTGTTTGATATGTTATGATAATCATTTTAGGATTCAATGGTATAAATTATACTTATTAGGAAAATTAATAATGCATCATTAATGGTGTTTTCTTTCTTTTTTTACAGGAGGATTAGCTCAATCAGTTCGAAGCTTATCAGATGAGAATGCGCAGGAAAAAGTGCTTTCCTTATTAGGTACCTTTCATATTTGTATATATGTTGAAAAAAGGGAAAACCTTACCTTTCTGTTTATTTCTTGTTACACTCCCTCTTATCTGGTCTTGCTTTAACTGGATGTGTTTTGATCAAACTTTCTGTAAGTTGAAATCTATATCCATAACATTTAGGGGCTCTCTTTTAGTTATATTAATATCGAGTAATTCATTGAAATATTTAAACTAAATAATCTAATTTAAAAAAATATATATATATATTTCACCTTTTTTTTTACACACTGAAAGTCTTCTTATACACAGCAAAAGAAATAAATATTTTGCAAAACGTAAACAATTATTAATATTAAATAATAATAAATCTGATTATGCAAATTTGAATAAAATGGCAGGAAAAAACATCAATTTTATTGGCGCCCCTTACTGGTCCGTAAAATAACTATGCAGTTACGTAAGGTAGATTGCCTATTGGAAGAATATTCAAAAAGTTCTGCCAGCTCCTCTTGGATCAGATTTCCGGTTGGATGTATAATTGGAAGAAAAGGAGTCTAGTTACAAAGTGAGAGGGTCAATTTAAAATTGTAATTGAGAAAATGCTACTTATTAATGGCATTTTGGGAAACTTTACTAATTCAAGGGCCAAACCATTAACGCTTGAACAGTCAAAGTATTTATTATTTTCTTGAGATTTCACATAAAGATTTATTCATTATTTAAAACTCATGGCTCAGAATTTAAAAAGTTTTGGTTAATTGTATCCTAAATTTTTTTTAAATTCCAAATTCCTTTGAAGATCATGAATAAAGAATAATCCATAATCATAATAAAATGAATTAAAGATGAATTAAAGATGAATAAAGAATAATCCATAATTAATAATAAGTGTGAAGAACAAACTTTTAAATAAATTAGTTGCAGTTACCCATTCCTTTAAAACACGAATATCAGTTGGTAAATGAAAATTTAAGTCAGGAATTTGATAAAACAATATTTTAATTATAAATGAATTCTTGATTTTCAGAATCTGAAGAAGCCAACCTTACAGCTGAGCCTTTAGAAAAAATTAAAGAGCACAAATCAGTACAAAAAGTTCTAGCTAAATTAGAAAAAGATCTCCAAGCACTGCGGAAAAAGCACGAGAAAGTGAGTTTTGTATAGATACATATTTTAAATATGCTGAATTTAGATTTAAGAAAGAAAAAGAAATTTTCTTAATCATCTCTAGCCTCAACCTCTTTTTTTTCTCCCCTTTTTGTGAGGAAAATTAGTGTATTATATGAAATTATTAAATGCCAAACTTCTTATGTGAATTAATTTCTAATTTTGAAGTATTTTACTGTAAGAAAACTTATATGTAACTTTGAAGTTACAAATATTATTTTATTTGTTCATGCATGTAGCATGCATTACATATGGAGATCCATAAAGCAGTTTGTTTTTGAGGATAAGTGGAGATAACATCATGCTTGAACTATTTTATTTTGGATATAATTTGACATTTCAACAATTTACATTACATTATCATAGATTAATTGAAATCTGCATAAATTGTAGCTTTAATGTATTTTGAGATTTGTTTTCATTACACTAATAACAAAATCAACTGCAGTGAAAAAAGATAGCTATTGTATGAACTTTTATTTTGTTGTCCTTTTCTAATTTCCTGAAATTTACTATGAAAATTCATAGTAATTAATTATGAAAAGGATTTACCATTTATCGTCTTGCAATAAACTTAGAATAGTAAGTAATCTAATGTAAGAAACAAAAATTATGAATTATGTAAACAAATTATATTATAAAAGTGGAAGGCGTCAGTAAAGTGCTGTGGTGGAATAATCAAATATGGCTAAAAATAGTTGTGATGATTTCTAATAAAGTAAGTATTATAGATATTAGCATATTCTTTGGGGTCAGATATTTCAGTATTAATGAAAAATTTCAGTTTTATTCCTGATTCAATTCTTGATTAGAAATTTTCTGTTTGAGTACTTAAGGTATATATTCAGATAGTTAAGAAGGAATTCTATTAAACCTGTTTGACAAAGATAGTTATCTGATGATATCAAATAGACTTTTATTTTAATACTTAAGCAATGACACATGGTTTTTAATAGTAATAAAGAGTATTATGCTCTGTAATAGAAATAAGTATTCAGTTCTTAAATGGGAAGCCATGCTAGCAAAAGTAAATTGTAAATATGATATTACCCTCTGAACAAGTTTTAAAAATAGTTAGAAAATATTAGTTTTAGTTTGCATATTTAAAGTATCTAGGAATAAAACATAAAAGCACTTGAAATAATTTTAACTGTATTTTTCCTGTATATCTGAAGTCAATTGCATGCTCTTCAGCATGTATTTTACTTATCTTAGTTACATGTTTCATCATTTGCAGTAAATTTAATAGTTGATTAATCAAGAAATTATCAGGGAAAGACTAAGTTCTGCAAGACTCTATTAAAAAATAAAAAAAGATTGAATGTAGTAAAAACATATTTTATCCATAAATTTCTTAATGCTAAATTTCATCCTTCATTGGTATTGAAATTTAAATCAGTTTGAAATTGAACCATATAAAAGAATTACATGCAAAAAATTTTAGGGCCACATGAAAATGTAATTTTCTTTACTTATAAGTAACTTTTTTTTTTGATCATTTAAAATTGTCTTGAAATTTGGTACTTGTTTTTGGAAATGAAGAAAACTTCAGAATTCTTATTTAATTTAATAAGCACTTATTTTTATTCAGATAATCGTAACAATATGGAAGGTGCATTAAGTTATTACATTTACGCAGTAACAGTTGTTGTTTATATTATGGAGATTCGTAATTTGTTATCTTAAGGTTGACAAATTCAGTTTATTCTTGCTTTGTAAAAAACTTATAGATGAAAGAAAAAGAAAAAGAATTGCTGATGCAGAAAGAAGATAAACTAGCAAAAGCTCAAGAATACCAAAAGACTCATATTGTAAAAACACATTCTAAACTTTCTAAAAAGAGTTCTGGAATGGATGCGTGAGTTGCTATTTTTGATTTGGCTTTTTAAAACAATTTTCTGTTATTTCCAGAACAATTAGCATACATTTGGTAATACTTTTTTTTTTCTTACTTACAGACAGTTGATGAAACGACGAAGTGAAGCTGGACTTATGGCTATGAGTGCTGAACATCAAGCCAAAGTAAGTTGAGTATGTAGTTAAGCAGAAATTACACTTGTGGTATCTTAAGTTCTTAAAATTAAATAATACAGCATACAGTTGTTCATATTACATTTATGTAAATCTATAATAAAATGTTAATAAAAGGCAACAGGAATGCACATATTTTTACATTTTTATTTCATAATTTGACAAAAAATGTAAAATTACCTTTTTTCCTGATTTTTCACTCTTGTTTTATTGTTTAGAGTGAATATCCTTGATTCTCTAAAGCAGGCAGTGCTGCCTCCTTGTGAACATTCTGGTGTAGAGGGCATTAATCATTAAGATGACTGCAGAGGGTCTTTAGGCTTCAACGCAGCCATCAGTATTATTCATCAATATTAGCAATCATTTTGTAATAGGAATGTGTATAAAATTAATGAAAGTGTAAGATTACTATTCCCCTCCAATTCTTTGCTCCTGTTTTACTGTTTAACGTGAATATCAGTGTTTCTCTAAGTGGAAAATGCTGCCTCCTTGGGAACACTCAAGTTTAGAGAGCATTAATCATTAAGCTGACAACAGAGAATCGTTAGGCTTCAAGGCAGCCATCAAATGTTAGCAGTCATTTTCTAGTGATAATATAACATGAGATTATGATGATTTTATATATATGTGATATTTTAGCAGTCGTGGTGAAGCTTGGCATCAAAGTTCAAGCATGGCTTTTGCAGAGTGGCAAGGAAATATCCAATGAAGACACAAAAATGATTTAGCTTTTAACTGCACATTTTTATTTAATCCAGTTAGCAGATAATTTTTCTTTTGGATGAAACTCTCTAATTACATATCTATAGTGATTTTAACTAAGTATGATTGAATTTAAACGTTATGCGTCATAACTAATTCTAACGAAAGAAAGATGGACAGAGCAGCGCGGAGTCTTGCAGCAGCAATATTAGGAAGCAGTCTGACTGAAAAATGGCGTTACTCAGTATTTATAGTAGCGGTTATGTAATAGGCTAGCAAATTCTAGAAGGTACTGGTCTATGGGTAAGATCCTAAATTGCAGAAAATTAATTAAAGGTTGTGTGTTCGCATAGAGCAAAGCCATCGTATTTTTTATATTTTACATATTTGTATATAATTTTGGAAGATTGTAATTTTGTAGAAAAATCCAGGACTTAGCAGAAGTGAAACTGTTTTAAATTATTTTTGAAATGACGGAAGCTGTAAGTACTAAGCTCCAAAAAATAACTGCCCCCAAATGTTGACTGTGATAATTTATGACTTCTATTAAACAGTATTCATTCAAGCATTCATAAAATAGTTCATCAAACTTATTATGAACAGATTTAATATTAAAATATTACTTTAATCACTAATTTAGTTATTTTTATTTTTGTCATAATTATATGTGATTTTTATAACAAAGAAATAAAAAATATTTATAATTTATTGTTGTGTTAATAATTTTTTGCAAAGAAATTATAAATGTCAAATAAAACTTTATAATGACATTGTATTAGTATGTAATTTCATACATGAAAAACATAAAGGGCATAATTAAAAATATAATTGAAATAAAATTGAAGTAGTGGCAACTCATAAAAACAGAGAAATATATTTGTAGATCATCTAATGAAAATTTGCAAATTAATTATTCATAATTTGATGCTTTAAACAAACTCATCAGGGGTAATTAATTAAAACATCAAACATGTATAATTAAGAAGTTCTGAATAAACGTTTTATTCTTCTTGACTGTTTGAGTACAAAAACAAAAATTAAGTAATCACAAAAACTTTTTACAAAATTAATTACTCCTTATTCTCAAAGAGTCAAGAATATACCCCAACAGAAATTCATTTGTACAATACTGTTAAAAATTCTAGTTAAAAAATCATGTCTTTTATATGCAATAAAAATTAAAATGCAGCAGCTAAAGTATGCTAAAAGACTATGTTTGAATATTCTAATTTTCTATAGTAACAAAGCTTGCGATTTTGACTTGAACTACATTATATAAATTTAATAAAACAAAAAATTGCTCAAATATTGTTTGTAAAAAAACACCAATCTTTTATCTTCTTTATTCAGTACTATTATCAAAATAAATGATGTGGGAAAAATCCTAAAAACATCTGAAGGTTTTAAAGAAAAATATGTATACATTAGATAAACATAAAAACTTACTTAAATTTCTTAAGTGGAGCAAAGGTATTGATAAGCACAATATGTGATGCGAAAGAAAGGAAATGGCCTATAAATTTAAAGCATTCTTCCTGTGAATGTGGGAGTTGGAAGGAACAAGTTTACCATTTATGGCAGAAATCATCGGAAAAAAGTTTAAAAGTTGAGATTGGTGTCCTTGGCATTGTACTTTTAAACAAATAAACTAAGCCAAGACTTTTTATTATTATTGCATTATTGAGAAAATTGGCATAAAAATAAAAGACTAATTTATTTTTAAGGAGAGCATTTTGAAATTGTGGTGAAAATTAGGATTTCCAAAAGCATGAAGTTTGGGAATGCCAAACAAAATGGGTACAAGAGAGAAGCACAATAAATTATTCAGATAAAAAGTTAAGGAAATCAAAAATGGTAGAGGTGAAAGGCAATTCAACTTTACCGTATGTCTTCACGCAATTCAACTTCAGTGCGTCTTTGAAATAAGAAAAGCCTCATTAATAGTATAGAGCCAGAATTATTACACAGAAACTGTATATTTAAAAAAAAATTAATATATGTATACAAATCTCTTAATTTTAGTTACTATCCTGCTTTATTCTCCAATTTAGGTTTGAAATAACTCGATTATGTTGTATGAAATAAAGAGATTAATTTGGTAATCGGTCCTGCTTTTCTGAAAGAAAGGTTAATATAATATTTGGGAATTTTATTTTCTATTAATGAATCATTAAAGGGAGGATCTGTTCTTGAAAGTAATTATATATATATATATATAAATGTTATTTTTATAGCTTGAAGAGCTGCAACGGAATCATTCGCAGGCTTTAATTTGCATTACGAAAGAACTGTATAAAGCAGAACTTGAGCTGTATGAACGATATCAGGAACCTGTGAGTATTTTTTTGTTTAGTTTTAAATCATTTTTATAAAATCTGTATTAGATGTATTTCTTACTTATATAAATATATCAGGAAATTTGACATTTGTGAGATTTTTATATATTTTCTGTCTGTGTCATAAAGCAGGGATGCAGAATGTGTTTTATGTTATATAAATATTTGTTTTGTGTGTATGTGTAACTATTGCAGTGTATTGTAAAGCATTAAAAAATTTGGATTTGCAAACTTAAATGTAACTGAAAATAAAACTAAATACAAAATTTAAAATGTAAATGAAGGTATTGTATTTGCAGTTTCTGTTACCTTGGTAATAAAATTTAGTGAAATGCTATCAAAGTGACTGCTTTTTCCAATAATCATGTACTTTAGAGATATCCACATAATCCATTTTATCTACATAAATGCAAGATCTTAAATTTTCTGTATTTCATGATTAAAGTCATTGAACGGTAAAACATTTACAGTTATAGTTGAGTCTCCAAGTTCATTGTATTTATTCAGATTTACTGTTCACGGCATAAAATGAATTATTTATAAGGAATATTTTGGAGCTATTTTGGATTGGCTTCCCCAATGTTAAAAATAGTTAATAGTTAAAAAATGTGTCCTCATTTAAGAAAATTTGCCCGTGATCTTTTTCATGATATTAGAACTATCATCCTATTACATATTATCAGATTGGAATCATTTATTCAGAGAATTATTGAAGAAGAATTTATGAATTCCAAGAAGGCAGCAATATAATTGCTATTTAACACTTTTTATAATATCATGCTGTAATCTTAATCAATATCTGCCTTTAATGGACATGCTTTATTCATATTAATTTTTTGAATATTTATACTTTCAGTTGTATAGTGCAATAGAGAAATCAATGGCATCATCTCAAGCAGCTCAGATGGATCATTTAAAAAGTTTACATGATAGGTAAGCAATTAATATTTCTTCAAATATTAATTGTATTAAAGATTTTTAGTAATTAATATATTAAAGTTTATTAGTAAACCCAAATACATTAAAATTATGAATCAAGTGAGTCAAATGGTTTTTCTAATTAACAAGCATTTTTAATTCACATTTTTTAATAATCATTAGTGATGCGATAAATTGTAACTACATTTAAAATTAAGTGAGTGCGGTTGTTAGATTGAACTGTTTTAGTATTTCTCTAGCTCAGGATATGTGAATTGCTGTCATAGGTGTTGTTAAAGAACTCTTGAACAGTTTGATGGAAATGTATGTACTGATTGTTGTGATATGCGTATCCCAATGCAAATTTGGTAATCTTCATGAAATTTGTATACTGTATCCACATCTTCCGTTTTCTTTTTATAGTAAATTTTAAAAAAATACCTGTCTGCACACATAAAAACAATTAGATACATTTTTAAATACATTTTTAAAATAGTCTAAGAATCCACTCTTCTTTTATTAAATTAATTATAAAAAAGAAGGTAAAATTATTCATATTTATTTTTCATTTTAGCAAAATGAATGGGGTATGCATTTTAAGAAATCAGTTGTCCAAAATAACTAAGCAGTTTTCATCTTCATTGAAATACTTATTATATTTAGATATTTTGTTTTATAAAAATTTTCCTGAATAAATTCTGAATGGTGTTTGAATTTTTTCATACAAGTGATTACATATTTTTATAATACATATTTTTAGTATTAGAAAAGCATAGCTATTTTTATAATAATTACATTTTGGTATGATTTGAAAAAAAATTCTTTTCCTTAACAGAGAGGTTGCTGAATTGATGAAAAGGTTAGAAGTACAGAATAAAGAAGAAATGAAAGATCTAAGTAAGAAGCATAAAGATAAGAATGAATTAGCAAGGTAGTTAGTCTGTTTTATATGCATTGTCATCTTGTCTTATGATGTATTTTTATGGTAGCATGTTGTACTTTTACTGGGTAATTATATCTGTGATTTAGCAGCAGAAAAGTAGTTCAGATAGTGCCTAAAATAGTACATACTTGTAATCAGGATATAAATTTATAAAAATTCAGTTCAATTTGGATTCATCATTTTCGGTATTTAAATGTTATGCCAGTAGTCCAAGCATTGTTTTGGAACCTAAATTAAAAAAAATTCAATAATATAAGTGAATAAACTATTAGTAAATATTTAAATATTGATTGGTGCCATACTATTTTAAATCTTGGAGCTGAGGTTTGTATTATTACTAAAAAAATGGTATGTTTGTAAAGCAACTGCTTTGCTCCTCAATGAGAGACATCATTATTTTGACTAAAATTTCCTTCTGTAAGTGATCCACATAGTATGAAGATACAGTAAAGCAATAAAAGTCAACGTATTAATTCAACTTTGTGCTTTTTCTAGAACGACATCACATAAATTTTAGACCTGTTGTTCTCATAGGATCATTCCCCTCTCCTTTCCAAAATTCGAAAATGCGTATACATTTATATAGGTTTAGGTTGTTTTTAACATGTTTTATAAATTAAACAACAAGAAGTACAGAAAATATTGATAAATACCAAAGTTTGAGTAAAAAAAAAATATATATATGAGTTTTATGTTCACAGATATAAAAGTACATTTTTTTGGTGATAAAAATATTTCTCTTGATATAACTTCAGAATATTCTATTATAGAATAAAAAGGGAATCACATCAGAGGCTAATAGACCAGGCTGTAGCTGAAAGACAGCGGGTAAGTGTGGTAACTTTTATTCTGTCTTGATTTTTAATGGACGGAGAACAGTCAGCATTAAAAGTTAAGTAATTTCATTAATTAATAAATAATTGCTCCAATTTAGCAGAAACATTCATTGTTTAATTTTGTAAAGCTGATTGTAATTGGTTGAAATTTAGCAAGAATTTGAAAACAATTATTACAGAAGCAGGATAGTAAAAAAAGGGCATTTTCTGTTTCTTATTCTTTGGATGCAATCTAATATTAAATGATGACTGGAGCTTTATGTTCATTTTAAATATAATGTTAATTATTTTCAATCATTTCTAAGTTCAACTCAGTTTAGCTGTGCATAATATAATTTTTAACTTCTTTAATTGTGTTTAAGACGTTTAGTTGTATTAAAGTTTTTTATGAGGATATTAAAATGATCTAATTAAAGAATAGATCTTCTTCAAATTTCAAACTTAGATTTTGGGAAAGTTTATAGCAAATTAATACAAATTAAAAATTTTTTTAAATGTCATGTGTTATTAATATTTCATACCAAACAGTTTAGCAGTTTACTGGATAAAAGGAAAAGTGAGCTGGAAAGTCAGCATATGGAAATAAGAAAACAATTTGAAGAAGAACGAAGCTTGGTAAGAAATTAAAAAATCAGTCCCTTCACCCCCATTTTTTCTCTTTCCTAATTTTAAATGTAATTCTTTTAAATTATAATAAATACATTAAATTTCAAGTGTGGGTTTTTTTTTATTATATATATATATATATATACATGTACTAGGAGCTGAAGAGTAAGCACATTCGAGTTCACCCTCCATTTTGTTTAAAGAAGCAGCTGTTATTCACTGATTGATCAGTTGCATTTTCTGGAATGACTTTTTTCTTCCTTCTTTTTTATTTCCTTGTGGCAAGTAAAGGAAGTATTGTAATCGCTAAAAAATTAGGATATCATTTTTTAGCAAAAAATACCTATTTTAACCACTCTTTAACCCACGACTTTTGAACGGTGTTTTTGCATGACATCTGTACATATGGACAGAGTAAAGAACTCCTCCCCCCCAAAAAACAGATTGTAAATTATAAAAGGGATTTAAAGTGGATTTAGATAAGATTTTTTCTTGATGTCTGTATATACATATGTATCTCGCATAACTAAAAAATGGGCAGCTCAGAATGTTAAAATTTCATATATGGGACTGCTATAACATGTAATTGTGTACCTCCCTTCTTGGTTGCAGTTGGCTGCACCAAATTTATATATAATATGAATATAACTATTAATAATGCAGATTTGGCCAAAAATTAAGAATTTCAATGTGTATACCCATTCTGTTACCTGGCTCAGTAAGCTCAGTTTTTTTATTCTTGTATGTTAGTAAATTGTTAATTTTTTGCTTTAAAAATCATTGAATTAATGTTGTTCTTATGTTCTGGTTAAGGTTTTTATGCCTTTAGCTAATATGGATACAATAGTTGTAAAATTATCAACAATTTAAAAGTTGTTGAAGTGGTACTAAGCCTACCGAAGCCACCATTTGTTAACGTTTAAAAATCTTAGAAGAATAGTGAATTAAGTCCCACTACTTTCTAACACATTAAATTATTTAAAAGATGTGAGGAACATAATTCAGTGTAATAGATTTTCTCCTCATATTTGTTGAGAATGAAGAATATCCATTAGGCCTTTTACTGGTTTATGTAGCATATTTTCTACTTATCATCTGCCAATTATCAAATGTGAAAATGTCTCTTTGAATAATGTTTTTAAAGTACATCTGTATAGTCTAGACAAATATGTTTTTTCAAGTACTTGTTTCTATAAGTTAGTAAAAAATGTATTTCATACTTTAATTCTGGACATGTGTGTAATTGATTATATGTTCTATTTTTTAGCAGTAAAATACAACTTTTCACTTAGAAAAATCAACTGAAAATTAAGATGTATCTTATAGTTTATCTTATAGTATAGTTGTATCTTATAGTACCTGATATGTATAATTTTTTAAATTGCATTGCGAATTTGTAGTGTCTGTTATCATTCTCCAAATGTGGTAATCTTTTTCATATTATGTACATGCATAGCTATTAACTATACAGGCTATATCATATATAATATTATAATGCTTGACTTTCATCATTGCAGCTTTACGTAAATTTTAGGTGGCCAAAACTGTTTTGCATCTTTTAAAAAATAAATAAAGGGCTGAGCTAATGCAATCTTTACACCTACCATGCTTTATCTTTTGGTCATCATCTGAAATGTTGTTCATCACCTGAAATGTTTTGTGTGTGTGTATTGCCATCTATAAACTAGTCTTATAACTAGTTTATAGATGCTTAGATAAACTAATCTTATAACTAGAAGTTCTTACAATTAAAAAAACTAGCCAAAACGCATGGTGGAAACTTACTAATTTAAGTAACGTGGGAATTTACTTTTTCAGGACTCAGATGAGCCTTAAGCATACGTGAGAAGTAGATATATGTATAATATGTATAATAAGTAACAAAGCATTTGTAGGAAATGAATAACAAAAGTAATATAATTTAAGCTTAATTGCCATAGCACACAAAAAGAAAACATTTTAGCTGAACAACATGGCTTTAGTCACGAATCTCATGATACGTAATCAGTAGTGCAGCATAGTGGATTCTTGCTAAGCTTTATGATGATAGCTGCAAATTTGAAGGTTTTTAAGATATCACAAAAATGGGAATTTTCTAATGAATGGAGTTTGATAAGAAATGTAGAGAAGTAGTAATAAATGAAGAATATATAATAGAAATTTTCCCTTGCGATAACAATGCCCCAATAATCCATCAACTAATGGACAGCAAAATCTATAATATGATTCCAAATCTAGAAAAATATTGCTAATACAATAGTTAAGTTAATACAATAATTATTGCTAATACAATAGCTAATACAATAGTGAAGAAAGAGCCAGAGAGGTTTTTAAGGATGAAAAAATTTCCATTGAGAATTTAATGGAAATTTTCACCACAGTAACTACAGAACTTGGATTTTGTAATTGAACAAAAGTCATGTCTTGTATGTAAAATTAAAACATTAGCACAAAAAATGAAACAAGTTAAATAACTGAGATTGAAAGAAATGTTTAATAGTGCAAACAATTAACAGGGTTGCCACGCTACCTGGAAAACCGGGAAAAGTCAGGGAATTCGAAAATTGACTAAAATATTCAGGGAAAAGTCAGGGATTTAGTATTTTTGAAAATCTGGAAAGTCTGGGAAGTTCTACAACACGCCAAAAAAAGCGATTTTTTGCTCCGAGTCGAAGAGGTAACTTTTTGGCGAATTATGTACACGTGATTGCGGGTAGCTGCATAGAGCCAATTTTCAGCTCAATTTATTTCTTTAGGAAGGCAAAGCACTTTGGTTTCCAGTATCTCGAGAATCGCAATGTGCAGTGCATAACTAACAAATACCTGTTCTCGTATAACAAAATGGGTTTAATCCTATATATGGTACCATGGAGGTAGAATCAAAGAATATGTATGAAGAAGGAAACCTCTCTGTAGAATGGCTGTGGCTCCGTTCCATCATAAAAACAGCTGTCATGTCTAATATGGTCGCCAAAGCTCAAACTGTCGAGTTCGAAGGCACGTTAGAAAGTTATAAATGAATATCGTTTAAAATTTTTAAACTTGCGTAAAAAGACGTTCACGCACGTCCAATGCTTGTCTCAAACCGCGATCGACGTGAAACCACGTCGATTGCATTTATCGAAAAAAATGAATAACGCGGTCACTAGTCCTAACAACGAGAGTTTTATTCTCGATTACAATCTGGATTCACTCAGTAAACGCGTAATTGAGACACTAACGCTTGTTTTATTTAGCAGCACAGCAAATTATTTTTTTCGCGCAAGTGGAATTCAGAAAGTTCTTTTTGGTATAATTTCAGGATGGTTATAGCAAAAAAAAAAAAAAAAAAAATTTTTGAGTATCAATTTTAATTTGGTGAGGCGAAGGAGCGCGCCTTGCGCCCTCCGATAAGTGTGGCAACCCTAGAGGAGAAGTTTCTTACGAGTAGCGAGCAGAGCGAAACAGGCAGGCTGTCGGGCAGTGTGCGCGAAGTTCCTAAATAAAGCTTAATTTTTATTGTGCACTATGTCTTGTTAATATTTATATTAATGCAGTAAGAACATAATCTGTGATATGGAATTCGAGGATTGGTGGTAAAAACATAACCGGAGGAAATTTCCATAATGGTAACCCGGACTGTGTTAAATCGTATGAACAGTTCTCAAGCACTTTCGGTTTTGACTACAAGCCATCACTCAAGATCTCCAAACCAGAAGTAATGGATTACATCGGTTTTCATCCTCCGGATCACAGATGAGTAGTAATTATAGATCATTTTATAATTCTGTTTTCTACTTATCATTTAATTTCATTTTCTTTAGTTAAATTTTTGCTTTTATTTTGGCTTAAAAACCTTGCACAATGTCTGATGTTTATGCCGTCCAAATTCCGGTTTATAACCGATCAGACCCATCTTTATGGTTTATTATGTGTGAAAGTACCTTTTGCTCTTGCCACCCCCAAACCTATCACAGAATCCATTACTAAATATAATTATGTAGTTTCTCATCTTCCTCCAGATATCGCATCACTAGTACGGGATTTACTTATGAAACCAGACCCTATTGATCCATATGCAAAGCTTAAAACTCAAAACTGAGTTAATAAATCGTTCAGGAGAATCTTCTCAGCAAGAAATTCGCCAATTATTATCTGGAGAAGAATTAGGTTCTCGAAAACCTTCCGATTTGCTTAGAAATATGAAACGTCGAGCAGAATCTTTAAATGTTCCTGATAACTTAATGTTAGAATTATTCCTTCAACGTTTGCCTTCGACTGTTCAGTCTATTTTGGCAGCGGTTTCCAATTTAACTGTAGATAAAGCTGCAGAAATTGCCGACAGAATTTTAGAAGTAAATCCAACCCCAGGGACTTGTGCCGTTTCTCGCACAGTCGATCAGTCTCTTGAGGATAAATTATTTAAACAAATAGAAAAATTAAACAAACGTATTGATCGCATTTCTCTTTCTCGTGGTCGCTCGCCAAATCGCGGAGATCGCAATAAGGAAAGAAGCAATTCCAAAAGGAGAGATTATTCTGTTTGCTGGTATCATAGACGTTTTGGGAAAAAGTGTAGAGATGACAAATGTACAAAACCTTGTTCATGGCAGGGAAACGAAACCAGCAAAGAATAGAGGCGACTTATTCTTTGCCTCAAGTTTCACGTCGCCTGTTCGTTCGTGACCGTAGAACAAACCTTTCATTCTTGGTCGATACCGGCTCTGACGTGTCCTTACTTCCAGCAAATAATTCTCAAAAACGGAATTCGTCCCAACAAACACTTTTCGCTGCTAATTCTTCTACTATTCATGTTTATGGTCAAAAAACACTTTCTTTGGATTTCAAATTAAGACGACAGTTTACATGGACTTTTCTTATAGCAAATGTTAGTACACCCATTCTTGGAGCAGATTTTCTCCATTTCTTTGAATTGGTGCCTGATCTCAGAAACAAATGTCTCAAAGATTTAAAAAACGCATTTTAAAAACCGTCGGTTGCGTGAAAAATGCAAGCATTTATTCAGTAAAAACTGTATTTAGTGATACACCATATCACAAAATTTTAAAAGAATTTCCTTCAGTTACTAGATTACCAGATCCTAACCAACCTGTTAAACATAACACCGTTCATTATATCATAACTAAAGGTCCACCTGTGGTTGCAAAACCTCGTCGGTTAGCTCCAGATCGCTTAAAAATAGCAAAACAAGAATTTCAAACTATGATGCAATTGGGGCATTTGAGACCTTCGAGCAGCAATTATGCATCCCCACTTCACATGGTTCCAAAAAAGGGAAGTCTGGAATGGAGACCTGTAGGAGATTATCGAGCATTGAACGCTCAAACAATAAAAGACAAATACCCTATTCCATGCTTTAGCCGATTTTACTGCTGCATTGCACGGTACTAAAATTTTTAGTCATGTCGACCTGATTAAGGCATACCATCAAATACCAATTAACCCAGCCGACATCCACAAAACCGCCATATGCACACCATTCGGTTTATTCGAAAGTATCCCGTATGCAATTCGGCTTATGCAATGCATCTGCGACTTTTCAACGTTTTATAGATGAAGTCACGCGGGATTTAGAAGGCGTTTACGCTTTTGTCGATGACTTGCTCATAGCCTCTAAAGATTCTGAGGAACATTGCAGGCATTTGAAAGCTTTATTTTCCAAACTTCAGGAATATGGACTTTGCATAAATGTTTCAAAATGCACCTTTGGTCAAACATCTATTGATTTCTTAGGTTTTCACCTTAGTGAAAACGGAATTGAACCTCTTCCTGACAAAGTCAAATGTATTTTAGATTTTCCTCAACCTACCACTCTCACTCAGCTTCGCCGATTTTTAGGCATGTTTAACTTTTATAGATGTTTCATACCTAAAGCAGCACATATTCTTTCTCCTTTAATAAAATTGTTAGAAGGTTAGAAGGCTATATTAATAAAAAGAAATCTCGTTCTCGTGTTCAGGATTCATCCCCACAATTAAATTGGAACGAGAATGCTGAACAAGCCTTTATTGCTGCCAAAAATGCCATTGCTCAGGCTACCCTTTTGAGACACCCTATTCCCGGAGCCCAGCTAAGCATCTGGGTAGATGCCTCAGACGTCGCAATCGGCGGCACACTTATGCAGTTGTCTCAACAAACATGGGAACCTATAGCATTTTTCTCTATGAAACTCAATAAAAGTCAACAGAAATGGTCCGCGTACGATAGGGAATTATTTTCTATTTATTCTGCAATTAAGAAATTCCGACACATGTTAGAGGGCAGAAATTTTATAATTTATACGGATCAAAAACCGTTAATATACGCTTTTAAACAGAACCCTCATAAATGTTCACCTCGACAATTGCGCCATTTAGATTTTATTTCTCAGTACTCTACTGATATTAGGCATGTGCAAGGTTCAAAAAACGTCGTTGCTGACGCTCTTTCAAGAATCGAAATTGATTCCATAACAAAATCTCCATTTTTGGATTTTAAAAAATTTTCGGAAGCTCAACGGCATGATCCGGAGGTACAAGACCTTCTCAAAAACAACACATCATCTTTGAAACTGGAATTTAAACCGTGCCAATATTCTGATGGTAATATTCTTTGTGACATATCAACAGACATTCCTCGTCCATTTGTTCCGAATTCCTTTCGCAGACTCATCTTTAATCATCTGCATAATCTGTCACATCCAGGAATTGCAGCTACTACGAAGCTTATTTGTTCTCGTTATGTATGGCCCGATATGAAACGTCATATCAAAAATTGGGTGAAATCCTGTGAATCTTGCCAAAAATCGAAAATTACTAGGCATACTAAAGCACCACTGGGCACATTCTCTCTTCCTGATGCACGTTTTTCAGAAATCCATATGGATATCGTCGGACCGTTACCTCCATCAGAAGGCAACGTGTACCTTTTGACTCTAATAGATAGATTCTCCAGATGGCCTGAAGCCATTCCCATCCCGGATATGAAAACGGAAACCATTTGCAGAGCCATCTTCAACTGTTGGATATCTCGTTTTGGCTGCCCATCGATCATAACAACAGACCAAGGTTCTCAAATGAGATCCGCACTTTTTGCAGAATTCACGCGCATTTTGGGTACGAACAGAATCACAACAACAGCCTATCATCCAATGTCAAACGGCATTGTTGAACGATTTCATCGACATTTAAAATCTTCTCTCAAGGCTCACGAGACCAATAACTGGACTGAAACACTACCAGTTGTTATGCTTGGTATTCGGACAGCCGTAAAGGAAGATCTACAGTCATCTTGTGCTGAACTGGTGTACGGCACAACTCTCAAGCTGCCTAGTGATATGATAACGTCATCTAAGATATCTCCGTATGACACACAATTTATCACGAATCTTCGGCATAGAATGCAACAATTGAATCCAATAGCAACATCTGCACATTGCCAAGAAAAATGTTACGTAAGTGCTACCTTAAAGTCGTGTACGCATGTATACTTACGTGTCGATCGAGTAAAGCCACCTCTGTGCCAACCATATACAGGTCCGCATAAAGTCCTTTCTAGAACGGACAAAACTTTCACAATTGATATTTAACGGTCTGAAATCTACTGTGTCTATAGACCGTGTGAAACCAGCCTATTTGCTTTCGGACTCTAATTTGCCTGAACTGAAAACAAATAAAGACTTAAAGACAGTTCAGCAGAATAAATCTGCAAACGAACTCTCTAAGACACAAACTGTCACCAGATCGGGAAGACATGTTCACTTCCCTAAGAAACTTGCTTCTTACATAACAATTTAAAACATTTTTTTAAAAATTCATATCTTAACATATTTTGTTATTTCATGTTTATTATATGTGTCAATACCTTGTTATATATTGAATTGCATTTTGATCTTTTCTAATTTTATATTCTAATTTTGTAATCATGTAAAAAATACCCGACAGTACGGATACTCTGAGATAATTTCATAACCTATGTCGTTCCTTTGAATAGCCATTAAAGGAACTGGGGGGAAACTCTGTGGTGATGATGGCGATAAGGAGCGCGCCTTGCGCCCTCCGATAAGTGTGGCAACCCTAGAGGAGAAGTTTCTTACGAGTAGCGAGCAGAGCGAAACAGGCAGGCTGTCGGGCAGTGTGCGCGAAGTTCCTAAATAAAGCTTAATTTTTATTGTGCACTATGTCTTGTTAATATTTATATTAATGCAGTAAGAACATAATCTGTGATATGGAATTCGAGGATTGGTGGTAAAAACAAAACCGGATTGTAATTTCGAATTTTGGAATCCTTCGATTCCAAAGAGGATAACCTTTTTTGATTTGTATTATGGGTTCAATTCTCGAGGTCATTTGGTCTAGCAATTTTAATTCAATTTCCTTCGAATTTTACCGCAAAATCTTTTTAAACCTTTTTTTCTTTTTAATAAATACCTTGCCATTTTGCAGTAAAATAAAAAATAGTAATCAGTCATCTAGGCTAGCCATGTTAATATAACTATATTCGCTAAAATATCGTTGATTATTCTAATTCAATTTTTAAGTAATTATTTTTATGTTATTCATATAATTTAATGTTGCTTTCTTCCCTCTAAATTTATTTATTATTAGTAAATAATATTTCCAAATTTCAGGAAATTTTCTCTGGCATAATCCTGAAATTAATTATAGCAGTATGATGACATACTATCACGAAATTTAATGCACATATTTTTCCTTATGTATGCTGCGAAATAAATATAAAATACCTCAATTTATTAAAATAGATTTCTTTCTTTCGTTTAGCTGCAGAATGTCTGCAAAAAAAGCCTTATTTTATTCCAGATTGGGAAGATTCTAATCTCAATCTTCAGTGGGGAAAACAACAACTATTATAATTATATGTGTGTTTTCAAGTGTTAAGGTGCCTTTTAAGAACATACCTCACGCAAATTAAAATTACCTAAAATCTAACCTATTTAGCATTGCGTTGTGATTTATAAGGACCGGATTAGCCTCATGTTGAACTGGTGATGATCATGAGTAATAATTAAATAAAACATACATTTGTTATCCAATACATATATCTTAAATTTTATTAAGTTTCTTAAGTGGAAAACTAAACAAAATTATCAAACAAAGTATACCAAGAATAATTAAGAATAAATGTCCTCTGGGATTTATTGAATAATTAAGTGAATTTGCTACACAATACAAGTAATACCATAATTAATTTACCTCTTAGCACAGCCAACGTACATTACGCGGATAGACTGGAATTTTCATGAAACACACCTGGAAAAGTCAGGGAATTTCATTCTCCTGTTTCAGTGGCAAACCTAAATTAAGTATTGGGTCATCTAAAATCTGGAAAACTTCCAAATATCGAATTGCCGAAGTTCTGACGAGTCCAAATCTCAGACTTTGTACTGTATAATAAATTAAACAGAAAAATGAATTCCTGTCTTTGTATGTTTTCAGTGTCATTTCTAAATTTTTCATTATTTTTTAAAGAAAGTAATAATTGTATTTGTTATTTGTTTGTTTATTTAATGAAAATTAGGCTCGTGAGAGGCTACAACAAGAATTTCAGGCCAGAATTTCCAAACTTCTTTTGGAAAGTGAGGAGAGGTCTGTTTCCTGTACTTCTACAGAAATTGTTGAAAAGAGTCCATTATGAAAGTTTTGAAAAGGTAAAGTACATAGCCATGAAGTACATAAATATTGGTTTATTTTCTACAAATCCATGAGAAATAAAAATGTGAAAAGTTAATATTCTAAAAGTTTTTTTGTTTTTTTCCTTGATTATGCATAGTTTTGGGGCAGGTAGGGGTAAATTTTTAAATGCTAAAATCTGTGAACATTATTTGTTTATCATGATAGTTGTTATATATATATATATATATATCATTAGTCACTCCTTCATGATGTGCGGGGTGAGTCTAAGCAGCTCCGGGATTTTTCTACCGTTCTAACATAATGAAGTATAAAGCAGCATAATTGGTGATGTTGAAAAGGAAAATAATTAAGAGTTTTTACAGGTCATACAAATTCTCAGTGTGTTTCACATATGTGATATGGCAAGGGAGTTTGTTTAACATTGTAGGATGTTGGTAATTTAACAGTGTAAGATGTTAATAGTTGCATAGCCAATTCATCTGGTGGGCAGATTCTCATCAAGATATGCGCAGAATTACTCTTTGATGTTGGGATTGAGCCCCATAGATTGCGTGGAAATGTAATACAGTTTGAACAGTGCATTACAATAGCTATCATGCAAGTGAACGAGGCAATGAATTAAAGTATTTTCATTTACTGTGTCATGAAATGTAGGGGCATAGAGAATTTGTAAGGTCTGTAAGAAATATTCTCATTCAATTATCATTCATTTATGTAAGTTTATTTCTCACACATTTCTTTTTCCATCCACCGTAACTCATGCTTTCTTTTCTTTCTTTTTTTTCATTGCTGTAATATTGCAGTGCATTAAGATGGTAATTTTTGTGTCTATTTCTGTAATTTAATATCTAAATGAAGAATAATTTTTAATATTTCAGGCAGTGGAGAAGAACAGTATTAAAAAGTGCTCCCTGCCTTGTTGGTATTCCACACCATGATTGCAGTCCATCCACCAATGTCAGAGATTCACCAGAAATGTGTGATTTAACAGACAGATTTGTATAGCACAGAACCAGGTGATTTAGCACAACCACCATCATGTAATTTAGTAACGTGTGTTCTCAGCACTGCACTCAGTATTGGTGTTTCTTCTCTCCAAGGTTGTGGTTTTTACAAAGTTCCATTCCCCACTCCCACCCCCTCTGCCGATTCAAGAGTGACATATTATCCAATTTATTTTCTGCCATAAGTGTGTGAGAAGTGTTGTGATCTGTTAAATGGAATTTTTGCAAATTCCAGGATTGTTCACATTGTATACCTCTCCCTTGAGTGATAAGTCTATACAGGTCAGGTGTTGTCTTCCTTTAATGTAGTGTTTAAGTAACAGAAGCTGAAATATTTTGATATGCATTGAAGAGCAATGGCTTTTTTGTGTATTTACTCAATTTTATATGATGTGATACTATCAATATTTATTAGCTTTTTGCTCACACTGGATCGGCAGATTGAGAGATTCAGTGTTTTAGATTGTTCCTTCATTAAGATGATATATATCTATATCTGTTAGCTAATTATTATTTTGTAGATTGCTTTCATATGGCCATGTAATATAGAATTAAAAAATAGCAGCATATAGATTTTCAGAGCTCTGTGATGACTAGAGGAAGATTTTTTATCTTATTGTTAAAGTTCTTTCCCATTCTCCCAGCTAGCATTGCTAGGTAATCTTCTGTCTAGTAACTTGCAAGGATCTCTTAATTTTGCAAATATTGTCCTGTTTATGTAATTTCAGATGTCTTCTTTTTTTGGGAGGAATGTTTTTGAATAATAATAATATTTAATTGCAGCTGCAATAGCATTTTTTAAACTCTGAATACTTGTGTCTTTATTTCTATGTTTGTTGATATTCTTTAGGTGTTTTATTAAAAAATGGATAGGCGAATGTATAAGATGATTGAATGTGATAAATTTTACATGTTTTCTCACTTCTATGCAGATTTTTTAATGCATTTGATTTTGTTTTATACATATAAAATTAATTAAAATAAAATTTATAAATAAATTAATTAAATAATTAGAAAATATGTTAAGAGTTACATTAGTATTCAAACTTAATAAAATTGGTAAGCACCAAATAAAAATAATTATATAGACAGTAAAGATATCCTCATCTACTATAAAATTAGTAAATTATTTTATATAAATTTAGTATTAATAATATTATCACATAAACCTTATTTCTTTATTCTGTCACCGTTTATAATTTCCATAATGTATTAAAGTAATTAATTGTTATTGCCCTGAGTTGAATAAAACAGTTTTGCTGATAGTTTGCTTGTAATATAGTATGTTATAACATTTTAGTGGAATGTACAATTTAATACTTGTTTCTTTAACATTGGGCTGTAATAGAAGAGTCATCAATGTATACTTTAAAGTCTCAGCATAGTTTTGATCATCTCAAGTTATAAAATAAGATATGAGATAATGTTTCAAATATAAAGTTTCTGTTATTATTTTAAATGTTTATTTAAATGTTTTCATTTGTTACTTATTTCAAGTACACTAATATATGGCTGAAGTATTTGAAATAATTTGCTGTATTTACATGCATATATAGTATTTTACACACTAGTGTAGTGTGGTCATACATTAAAGATGCATCTAGAGGCATAATTCTCAAAACACTTTTCATTACTGCTTCTTTACTTGAATTTATCTAAATAATATTTTTAATTCCCTCAATATTTTAACAGTTTAATAATACTCCTGATTTGGGATGGAGGTGTATGCACATTAAAAGTGATTGATATATTAAGCATTTATTTTTTCTTTGCCCTCTTATATGCAAATAATATTTTGATTACTTTGCATTAAAAATTACATAGACATGTAATTAACAACTATATCAGTGATAATGCCACATACTAATCTTTGTATTATCTAAATAAAAGTTGCATGTTAATAATATACAGAGGTCTTCAAATTCTACAACCTTTCCTGTCTTGTACTCGAACAGGAAATGTTTGGTGCCTTTGCAGTATTTGCTTTTAAATAGTATTCCTATATTTTTTTAACATCTTTTAAAAGTGTAATATTACTGTAGTATTTTGAAGTACAGTAAAATTAACATAATAAGTATAACTGTGGAATTTTTAATAAGGTATAATAGCTTGATAATACAAGAATAATATAATAAGTGTAATATTGCACAATTTTTATGCTTTCTCAACAAAACAGCAGCATGCTGCTTATTTGAGAACCTGTTATATAATGAGTAACATAGATGAATTTGAAAGCGAACCAGTATCAGAATCCAGTTTTCTTTTAATGGAAATCCAACTTTCAGCAATTTGTAATTTTGTCAATGCAGGACAAACAGCAATAAACTATCATTCCATTAAATATTATGTTAAATATTAATAAAAATTTTTCAGTTAGTCATAAAGAAAGGTATTGACCTCCTCTCCCTTTTTAGTGTCCAAAATTCCTGATAAGAATTTCTATATTTAAAGTTACTTAATGAATAAGTTATTAAGTTACAAGATAGTTCACTGTTTTTTTTTATTAAATATTCATTGATATTATCACTGATATTAGGCTAATAAAAGTTATAACTTGCATATGCAGTTTTGAATTAATATCATGAGCAAATTTTAAATATGCAGTATCAGCTTTTATTTTTTATACACTCTACACTTTTGTTAAAAAATTTCATAAGATCATAAAAAATTCATAATTTGTTTTTTAAATATCGATATTCTATCACTAGTGAGCTTCCTAAGCCCTTCTCCTTTGATCTTCTTTGATGGCAAAACTTCTGTGAATTATTCGGTATTTGCTGCTCCTAAGGGAGCAATTTCACTTAGTTAAATAGTGTATTTTTTATTGCATTTAGTAATATCTGAATGTGTGCTTTAAAAGTCTGCTTTGTATAGTTACTAGACAGAAGATATTCCCTGAGACTGTAGATTAGAATATAAATAAAATAAAATAAAATATGAGAATTAAATTGGACATCTGAAAACTTAACTAGAAAATTTTATAGACCATTATATTAAAATCAGCAATGTTTGAAATTCTGGTAATTTACTGCTGAGAGATCGACAGAATGTGCAACACATACTTCATTTAGCTATGTATAGTGGTTAATTTTTTTTTAATATTTTTTTATTTTAATTATTTAGTTACAAAGAAGCAACTTTTTCAGTTTACCTCCAGCGTAGATGTGACATGCAAGCAGTTCCTTACTCGTGACTAGTTGCATCAGTTATGAAAATGTCTAAAACATTTATTCTTTCATATTTAGTACATGGGAATGTTTATTGCTTGTAATTTGCAATTTTATTATAAACTGCAGCTGACTTACAAACTTTCCTACTTAGATAGATTTGATAATATATTTTATGATAATTATTTCCATAGTTCATAATAATTTGAAATGCATATCATGGTGCAGTCATATGTTTATAACACTAAAGTTGTTAGGGATTTAATTGTGGTATTTTAATGTACTAAAACCATTTATTTAAGTTTACTGTTTAAATCACATTTACATCCCTGTCTAAGAGGTACTGCAAGGAATAACTGATTTGATAGCACTCTTCTGTTCTTTTTAATTCTTCTTTCGCAAAATTTAAATTGTATTTGAAATTTAAATATTGTATTTAAAACAATAGCTGGTCTAAACTAAATTAAACTTGGGGGCACAAACAGCCCCTAGAGAGCCATGGCTGGCCGTGCCCTGATATCTGCTTTCTAGACCATAGGCTTCAGGGTGCTTGTGAATCTTAGTCTGAACTAGTGGTCAGCTTGTTAAGAGAACAGATGCTAATGGAAAAAATTACTTAGATGTGTATAGTTTAGTTTGATAATTTTTATATGATGTGCTGTTTAAAATTTTATTAAATTATTCAAAAATAGTAAAAATAATTAAGATATTATTTTTCTTCAGTCTTTTGAGCACATCACATGTAGTCTAAATTGTAGCTTACATTTATCTTTTCTTAGAAATAGTTTATACTCATTAGGTTGCGTAAACATACATAATCAGAAAATTTTTTAATAAATATCTGCAACTTTTCATGATTAAAATTGATGAAAATATGCAAGAAATGTAGTTTTTAAAGAAAGTCTGGAACTGTTTGTTGATATCATTTTTGATGCTTACCTTAATCATAGTATAGCCTTCCAGCACTTTTAAATTAGCTTTTAATTTTTAAAGAGAGAAATAAATTGTTGAATTATATCTTTTCCTAATATCCTAGTTGTATGTAGCAATTTCTTGCACATTTCTCCATTTGCCAGCTGGCATGTGCAATTGGTGTTAGTATTCCACTGTAAAAGTTTTCCTCTAAATATGTAAATTAGAGTTACATTGTAGTTTCAGATTGGTAGTTATTTCCTCTACTGCAAACTCTAAACTTAATAAAATGCTAGGAAAATTTGAAGAAAAATTAATTCAATAATTAATTCTATAATACTGGTTAAAGTAAGTAAGTAATGATAAAAATCTAGTCTTTTGTGATTGGAAAAGTATTAGATAAATGCAGTGTTGCATGTTCAAAAATAAATATAAATAAAAATATTAGCTCAGATTTTATGAACAGACTGTTTCTATTTTGGTGTACTGTTGATCTTTAATCTGTATTAGAAAATTAGAACCTTTGGTGCATTTAGATTTTTAGTTTAATATATCAAAATAGTTATGATATTTTTTATGTATTATAACAATGAGCAAGGGAAATGAATCTGGAATGCTTTCAGTGAAATGCAATTAGTAATTTTTTCCTCCCAGATAGAGGTGTGTTGTATAGAACACCAAAATAAGAGTAATAGAATTTTGCTGTGTAGAAAGTTTTGTGTAAGTCTGTTGTGTAGGTTTTCCATTTTCAAGTGGAAGACTAGCTCATCTTCAGGTGGGAGTAATTAGTTCTAATCCAGGAATGCTCAAGGTATTTAAAACTCATAATATTGTAATAAAAGTCTGTGAACAAATTTAATTTAATTGATTTTAAAATCATTGAACAAATCTTATGAACCTGCTAACAAAACTTTCAGACAAAATATTTTGCAGCTTCTCTTCAAAAGTTATCCAATTCAAAAACTGTACTTTTGTAAGGAGAAAAAAATTGCACACATATATGTATATATTAGTGAAAATTATAATATTGGTCATACTCATGTATAGACTGTTACTTATTGTTTTTTTAGCATAATCAGTCACTAAAAGTTTTTGCATTTAATTGAAAATAATAATCTTTTTCTTAAAGGTCTAAATAAAGCGGTAAATTCTGTAAATTGAGCATATTTACAAAATTAGGTTTGCAATTATTTTAGTAAAATTGTGTAATGGCATTTACATTTTTGGTAATTTTTATTGTATCACTTTTGAAAAGGAGGTGCAACTGAATTACATATGTATTCTAGCATTTAAAGATCAAATTTTGTTAAATGGAATAAAATTTTTGTTAAATGATATCAGAATATATTTTAAAACAATTTACAGATAAATTAAGAAAGCATTTTTAATATTATAAATTTAATTTTTTATGCAATATAAAAAAAATCTTGTGCTGTGTGAAAGAAAGACAGATCTAAGGAGTATTAGCTTAAAAATATTAATCTCCTAGCTGTAATAAGGTAACTTTTCATCATCAGTTTTTGATAAATGACATTTTTATCATGATTATTGCGTCTGTAATTAGACAAAATTATTTTTTCAAAGCCTAGGTGCTCTTCATAAATCTGTCTGCGTAAAGAAGTGTTGACCTAACCTTAAAATTCTGAATGAGGACCCTAAAAATACTGCTTTCATATTGTTTTTAGAAACATTATGTTACAGATTTTAAATTATTGAACTGAATATAATTTGTTCTCCAAATTAATGTGCCAACTTATTAATTATATGCTATTATAACAAGAATACATATTTTACGAGAGCATGGTAAAAAGTTATAAAAATAAGAAATTAGCAATTCTAGTAAATGCAGAGCTCTTCTCCAACTATCATAATGAAAGAATTTTATATAGTATTTCTATTTTTTCTTTTTTATTAAAAAATGTGTAATATGAATGAAATATTTAAAAGTATTTTTAAAGAGATAATTAAGTATTTCTAAATCTAAAATAGTGCCTTAATTTAAATATAAATAAACTATATTTTTATTTTTCTCTTGACATTATTTTATTTAGATTTAAGAAAATCAGCTTTGAGAGGAAAAACGAAATGCACGTATTATCTGAAAAAGGTGTTAAACTGTATAATGTTGTTTTTTTGTTTAATTGTTGCTTCAATGTATACATATATTATAATTAATTATTATTATATACATATATTATTAATTAATTATAATACATATATTTTATAATTTGGGTGCTAAAGCAAATAGTTCACTTACTAAAATCTTGAATTTTAATATTTTGTAAATTGAAATATTTTATATACTTACATAATACTTCCAAATGACATAATAATAAGACACCATATGTCTTCTTATGAATTCAAACTTTAAATAAACCTGTATCTTTGAAAGATCTTTTATAATTAAGTCAAAGATGAGAATTGCTACATTTTAAGTAAAACTACTAATAATAATAATTTTATTTTCTAATGAAAATATTGAAATTCTTTTTATATCCGATTAATATTTAATTTAAAAATAAATTTTGTCTGCTTAAGAAATATTTGCATTATTAATGGAAAGATTATTATTAATTGATTAGAAATATCGTAAACAATATTGAGTTTTTTTAAATATTTGAATTGGCATGGTGTGAAATAATACACATCTCATTTGAAATATTGTATCAGTATTTTTCTAATAATTTATGTGAGCAGTATTTATTTTTATATGTGTGTCATGATTATATCTGTATGAGTATCTTCATGTTTGATTGTTTCACACTCATTTCACATATGAAAGTTTTTCTTAGAACATATTTTTTATTATGAAAGATTCTTTTGACCTTCTGCTGACTTTTGAAATGTTTCATTTAGGAATATTGCTTAATTCAAAGTGTCTTTAAAAGCAAGGCTTAAAGTTTCATATTAAGCAGTATAACCAGTACATGTCCTGTTCTTGAATAACTGTGTTAAATCAGAATTAAAAACCTTGCATAAAATTCATATAATAGGACAGTTATTTTTGTGTAGTGTTATATGTAATTTTTTAAATTGTGAGAAAAACTTGTTTTGTAAATATAAATTTTAAAAGTTCTGTCATAAATTGGTCATTCTTTGATTAACATTATTTAGTATTCTATGCTTAAGAAAGTTTATCTCTGTAAAAAATGAAGGTGTGTGTTTTTCAGTTTTAATTAAAATGATATCCTGAAACTAAACTGCAACAGAATTCTTGCGTTTTTGGCTATACTAAAACTTATCTAAGTAATTTTCAAGTGTTTTGTTTGTGAACTTCATGGACTATATATCAGATGTACACTTTTTATATTTTACGTGATAAATTATAGTTGAATTCAGTCAAAAATGATAATTTTGTGTAACAATGTTAATATATTCTGTTCCTTCAATGTGTACTTTTTATTTGATGTTTGTATTCTCTGGTTATCTTTCAAATTAATATACTGTATTCATACATTTTTTTATGGACAGTGCTGTTTTATAATCTGTCCATATTGTTTTGCACACATGTGTTTGAATTGCTTTGTTCAACAACTGCACTAAGTATGGATCCTTTTGACTTTTCATTTTGTTTCACATGCTGTCGCATTTGTACATTCAAAATAATCATGAATTTCCATTAATTTCAGATGTGTGTTATATAAATTAACATTACAAACTTTCGTTGCCAGGTGTTACAATTCTTGTTTGTAATTCTAAGTAATTACTGGAAAAATTGCTCAAATTATTATGAATCATTTATGTTAATGAAGCTAAAATCTGGAAGCAATGAGAAAAGATTTTATAAAATTATTAGGATAAATTATGAAAAAAATATGCATTTTTTTAATGAAGATAGTAATTCCATCAATTTTACTTCTATTTGATGAATGATGTTCAGCATTATCTTTTGAAAGAAAAATATTAATAGAATTTTATGCAGTGTAACTCATTTTCAGATGTTTACTTGATGCATCTGTTGAGATTTATAGTTTTGTTATCAAAATTCTGATAGATTTAATTACTTTTTTTTTTCTTTCTTTTTTCTTTTTGTGATCCTTTTAACTCTGAATTTTTTCATAGATTTTTCAATATAATTTCAGTGCTTCATCTTGCAATCAGCCATTGCTGAGTGATTAATTAGAGTTATGTATCCTTAATTTGTTTTTCAGTTTAAGTCTTTTTTTTTTTTTTTCCATTTATTTTTAAAGGAACTTTTCAGGCATTGCGTTACTAAATCATGTTTCTTGAAGTTTTAATGCATTTCTTTATGCAAACTTTTCTGAACTTTTATGTGAAATTTTGCAGTTGGTAACATTTAGTTAATAGGTATTTAAAATGGTTCATGTTTGAATTAAAATTCATATCTATAAAAAATGTCATAGCCATTGTTCTGTATGAAACATAAAACAATTAATTGAAGCAAATGTTAACTTTTGATATGTGTAGACATTTTTCATGTTTGATATCTTACGTAGTTATTCCCTTATAAATTTCATTTTTATTGTTAATCACAAGAATCTGAAAATTTTACAGCTTGCTAAGAACATTGTAAGCTGCAGCTAAAATGTGCTAATTTTTCATTGTTTGCTCATAGGCAGAACTTATTCATCTGTCTAATCTTATTCATTTCTTCATGTTTTTACTTTGAATGTATGACATCATGTTGTATAACTATTATTTTTTTTATTGGTGTGTGTGTGTTCCAAACTTTATAGATTAAACTTCTTTTAATAAGAAGTTGCCTAGTCATCATCTTTTTGTAATATCAGTTACTTAATACAATTTGTGCAAAAGCAACAATACATGTTAGCTTTCATAAAAGCAAACTTTGGTACTTTGGCAATAAAGAAAATGTTAACTTGTGTATGATACACAAGACAGTTCTTTTTTCATATATTCATTTTCTGGGATGTTTAAATTTCTTTTTCATGTATCTTTTCTAGATAATAATAAATATGAAAGTTGCTCAGAGTAATTCATAATTTCCTGCCTGATATATAATTATGTTTTTTGCATATTACAGCTGGGATTGCTCTGTTCATGTGTGATCAAAGGTGCTGTGATAAGGATATATAATAAGCATAGCATGGTTTATGTATAAAGCTAGTAGACCTTGTGTGTCATGTATAATAATGAATGCTAGATTTTATATGTACAAAATTTTGAATCCTATCCTATTTCACATTGGTGCTCAGAAATATTAAATTTGATATTCAAAAATCTGCTTCACTCTGCTGTTCACATTATTTAGAGCTAATATACCTTGCTGAATATAGAGAAGGAAATTGCCATTTAAATACAACAGTAGTTTCTCTTACTGTTTCTGTATAAGTTAATTCGTAGAAAGTGGGTTTTCTATGTGAAATTAGTTAATAACACTAGCTCCATGTGTTGTCTGTGATCATTTTGTAATGTTTAATTTCTGTGTATGCTGTAACATATTACATATTTCTAATTGCCATATGTGTGGCTGAATTCCTTATGAACTTGATTACATGTTTTATATCTTGTTAAACAGAGTAATGCATGCTCACTTTGTTAAGTTTTAATGTTGACTGTTTGCAGCTGTTTCAAATTATGAAGGAAATATGTTATGAGTTTTGTAATTTTATTTTTTCAATATATATTTTTTGTATCATATTGCAAGAAATTAAGTATTATTGTATCTGGATTTTTTTAACACAAATAATTTGGGTATTTTGGTATTTTATATGAATTATAATGTGTTGCTGCATGATTGACTATTTGTGTAGACTGTATCATAATTCAATTTAAATGTTGTTATTTTTCCTAACTGTATTATTTAAATTATTTCACTTTAGATTTATAAATGTTATTGTATATATTGAGTATTGATTGGAGGAAATTGTGTGTATAATAACCTATTTTTAATATAATAATTTTCCCATGCTTGAGCTAAGTAAATTATATTTCTGTTGGTTCAATTTAAAAATATGGGCACAATTTTTTTTTAAAGTTCAAAATTTGTGTAAAGGAATCAGCTGGGGGAAAAAACCCTATTTATTTAATTTACCTCTTCAATTGAACCATAATAAGCATGTTGGTTCTTTATGCTGGAAATTAGATAAAGAAATTATGGAATAATATTAAGTAAGAAGCTGAGAAATATGTTTCTTGTAACCTGTGTGGCTCATAAGTGTTAATATTCTATGTTTGTACAAAGAGACTTATGTATCAATACGCACAAATGTTATGCCTCATATTATAGTAGAAATACATTTAAAATTTCACCTGAACAAAGTGCACTAGAACAAATAAATAATATTTTTCAGTTTTAAATATAGCTAGATAGATAGAGAATAAACTAAATTTTGTATTTCTTGGTAACTGGTGTGCTTATAAACAATTGTATCAAGTTATGCAAATTCTAAGTTAGGTATGTTAAAAAATTTGTTTATATCATCTTAGTCATATGATATATTCTTATTTTCCTACTATTATGGAAATTGAAGTAAATTTGAAAATTAATATAAATATGTTATCTTTAATTTTCTTCTATTAAGTCCTAGCTATTAAGTGTAAAAGCTTTTGTAAACTTTGATTGTTTAGTCAAGTAATAATTATCCATGCATGATATTGGTTAAGAGATTAACATAATACATTCTGAAACTAAATGTATAATATTTCACCATTATTATTTTTCATGAGAGTAAGAAGTAAATTTTAATTTTTGAATAATATAATTTTTGGTAAAAATAATATTTTTTGGTGTTTATTCATTAAAAATTTGCTTCATTTTAGCATTTTCAGTTATTAAATATGTTTTAAAACTGCATATAGTTATTTTCAAGAGAATATGATTTAATTTTCTTATAATAATTACTAGTGTTGCTATTTATTTTTGTATTAAATTTTTATGTCAAAAGAGTTATACTATAGCATTTCTATCAATTCTGTTAGTGTCATACATTATGTCAGCATTCCCTCCAGCATTACCTAACATTAAACTTTGTCATCTATTTCTGTTATTTATATTGTTATTTTTAGCTATATTACATTAAATACTAAACTGTGTATTTGTAGCATTTCTAATAGATGTTTTTAGTGCTATTATCAGGTATCTCTATCATATCTATGAGTGTATTTTGTAAACTGTTGTTTTCAGATGGAATCTAATGATAAGGATATTAGTGGTTTTAGAAAAGTAAAAGCACTTTTTTTTTTTTTTTTTTTTTTTTTTTTTTTTTTTTTTTTTTTTTAGTTCAATTTGCTGTAGGATTATTTTATTTTATTTATTTAATGCTTTGCTTACAGTAGTTTTGTTCTTAAATATAATTTAATGAACCAAAAGTTAATTTTCTTTTGGTAGATCATGAGTTTTTACCTCTTCATAAAAAACTGTTATCTTATTATGTTTAAAGTACTACATTTAATTAAAGCTTTATTCTTAAAGCTGTGTTTTGTAAAACTAGTTTACCTCCCTCCAATATTAT